CTTTGTGACCCAAGTATAAACTTGAGCATGCAGCGTCCAGACACGATACAGTGAACAAGCTGGAACAGGAATTTTTATTACAGTATCCTCATTTCATATTCTTCCTCTGTGCTTGCACACTGTTTTTATCGATATAGAGAGGAGCTCAATGAATGATATCAAGGTTCCCTGTCCAAGAAAGATTTTAAATCCACGTTTTGCAGCATCAGGTATGTTCCCATTCTGTTCTGAATGGTGCAAAGCAGTATATATCCATATATCCATAACATATGGTGTATTTCTTGATGCCTCTGTTCAAGGAGAAACTGTTATTTTAGTTTGCATGTTAGAAGGCTTCATGAGTCATCAGCCCTGGCAATTTACCACAGGGGCATGTCTTCAGGTGGTGGCAAAGTCCATGTAATGGTTGGACATGCAGGGATGCCAAGCACCTGCTGGTGCCAGGGAGCTGGGATTTGTCTACATTGCATAAAAACAACCTGATATAAATGATGTGAGAAATAAGAGAGCACCAGATTCAGTGTCAGATCAGTGTCTGTTCCTAACTCTCCCAGTGATTTCCTGGACAAGTTTTAATTGTCATGTCACCATATACATCTCCCTGTCTCCATCTGCAGGAAAGAAGCCTTGTGAAGTTGCTAATTTTTGTGGATGTATTTATTAATGCTTTGACATGCTCAGATTTTCAGGACATGCTCTAGAGTACTGCTCCACATTGTTTGGGGTCTGTCTGGTGCAGAGTAAAATACCAATGTGTCATCACTGGAAACTGAAACCCAGTGCTTGCCGCAGAAGAACTTCAATGCAGGCAGTTACTGTTCAGGCTTTCCCCATGCTGTTTCTTTCAAGACTGAAACCATCTTGAAAGACATACCTACCATATAAACACTGTATTTCATTTTCATGATCCACTCAGCCATAAATATCTGGCATTTCCACATGATTCCTGTAACACTAGTGTTTGGTACTGTGTAGAAAGTTTCACAACAAAGGCAGTGGTCTATAATTCTTGATTATGTCTGTTATGGCATTCTTTGTATTGCAAATGCTTGTCCCACTGACATGACATGCACTAAAGGTCTTCTGCTCTCTAGAGAACAGCTTGCCAAATGGATCAGGTCTCCCAGGATTTGCAGAAAGGTTTTCAGGGTCAGCTGAGCTGTGCACACAATAGTCTGTTTTATTTTGTTTCATTTTGAGTGGTTCAGATGTCCCAACTATTTGCAGAACTCAGTTAAGTCCTATTTGGGATGAAGTCATAAGTTCCACTTTCCACCAAGGCATGGAGCTTGTCCAAATTAGTGTCAAAGCCTATATAATACCTTGGCTATGTTGCAGGCTTGTACGTTATCAAGATCCTGTTTTCACAGCAGTTACATAGTTGTTACTCCAGTGAAGAATGATATGGCCCCTTATAAAGCCCACAAGCTGACGTCTGTTTTTTAATGTAATATTTACACTATTCAAGGAGCTAAAAGGAGGCTTTGCTTTAATAGATTCCTTCAGCTAATGTTTTCCCTTATACAGATGGGTTATTGTTTCCAGCTTTTGATTCCGATGTGGTTTTGTATATTAGGGCCTCGTTTTCTGGTTTGGCTTTTTGTTTTTCCTTCTCTGTGTCTCCTGGAGCAAGGGAAGGGTTTTGCCATTATCATCAACTTGCCTTGCAGTTTTCTCTGAGGTTTTATCTGAGGGTCAAAATGCTGAAGACATTAAAAACAAAACAAACAAAAAACCCAGCACCCTGTTGTTGCCCACCCCCCACCCCACCCTAAATTGCTTTCTATTTTCAACTTATCTCCCCCTTTCTGAGAAGAAACATGGTACAGCAATTTCTTACCATGGGCAGAACTCACATAATTTAGGCAATGAAATGTTTTTTTTCCAATGGGTCTGATGCTACATGTATGAATTTGTCTCTCTTTTGAAAATGTTGCCCAGGTGATTGCTATAAATAACACTGTGCCACCTAATGATTTCATGGGGCTGGATAAAAATCTCATCATCGTGAGTATAACTAGCTTTCTGAGGCTTCATAATGGAAATAGAGTGCCAGGTTTTAAGTACCTAATAACATTTATTCTAGTGAAGTAAAACACACATTGCCAGCCATAAAATTCTGGTCTGAGCAGGGAGTGTGGAGGACCACTGAAATTATATGATTTTTTCTGCTTAATATACTTCTGGGCTGAAACAATGTCAGAAAGTGGGAATTGCATAGTGCAGTATCTGCTAAAACTTTTTTAACTTCAGCAATGTACAGCTTCAGTCTGAGCTTTAGTTCAGGAAAAAAGCTAAAACTTGCTGTGTTCCACTGAAACCAGTTTTCTCTCAACTCTAATTAAAAACAAACCCAAAATGTAAGACTTACAGACTCAAGAGTTCAGACTAATTTGTAGTGGATGGAGAATGGTCAAAAGCAGGATATACCGAGGACCTTATCTCATTTGCCAAGCTAACTGCATACACAGATATACTTTAGGGGATCAGAGTCTTCTTATCCTTGGTTCTGATTGTGAAATTTCTGATGGTTTGGGTTCAGGTAGGAAATTATTCAGAATTCTGATTTTTTAGTGTATATATCCTGATGCTTTCCAACCTGCATGTCTAAACTAGGTATCTAGAAAGGTTAATTGTGGCATTCCAGCATTTATACTCTTTTTTCTTTTCCCCTAAAGAATTTTAAGGAGAAAAGGTATTGTGGCTTATTTTGGGATATAAAGGATGGATTCAGGCAGTCCTTAATTTACGTGTGTTTGTTTCTTTACTTGGAGTTCAGAATGGAGGCAGGAGAAGTATATTCCCTGTTCTGACCATGTTCTCATCACCTGTACTCTGCAAACAATTATAACTGTCACCCGGACTTTTATAATTCTATGCAGAGAAAAGTTTCAGAAGGGTATATGAGCGCACCTTGCGCTTCAGATTGGTGGCTAAACCTCGTTCCCTGCAGAATGACCTTACTTCACTACCTCTGGATTAGCTCCCCATCTCTATTATTCTCTTTGGGAATTATAAGATTATTTTATAAAAATAATGCTGTATTTGTCTATTGTATGTTTTAATTTATTTTTCCATCAGCAAGGTCATATATTGACTTTTGCACAGGAGGTTAAGGTCTGCTGAGTGTGAAACTGTAGTCAGGGTTATGATTGCCACTAGATATTCTACACAGAAAAGGAGAAGCAAAAGGCAGTCTACCAATAAGATGTGGCATGGCAATTCTAACTGGCTATTGGTAGGGAGTTGCATATTTCTGCAATGTGCTATTTGACTTGGATTTGCATCCATCAGATTCTTGCTGATTGTGGCCAGGAAAGAGAATTAAGGAAAAGCAGCAGACTTCTCACTTCTCACAGGTCACCTCATTCTTAATCGCACCATTTATTATCATGAGGGGGTGGGTGCATAGCAACTGTGGATGTAATTGGTATCTCTTGCTACTTTGCCAGCCTCTCATACTTTTCATACAGCGGTAGTCTACTATACAATGCTTTGTTTAAATCTTTTGCTCTTAATTGTTCAGTTGGATGTAAGGGCTGAACAAAGAGTTGTGATCTGTCTAGGATGTGTCTGTACTGTAGTCCTTCGCTAGATGGGGACAAAGCTGTTTTGTCAGTACCATGAATGGAGATAGTCTTTTAGTTTATGTGTTGAAAGACCAGTGGAATGAAGAGAGGGGAAGGAAAGATCCAAGTCTCAGTCGTGATTTTGTTTTTAATTCTAAATATGAAGATTTTGATTTGTGCAGAATTGTTGCCATGTGTTGGTATGTAGCCTGGCAGGAACTTGTCAGGTAGCAAGGTGTTTTCTGAATGTGGCTTAGCAGGGAGCATGTAGAGCTAGTTCTCATCTCTAAACCAAATAGTTCTGGAATAGCTGAGGTACTCTGATAGACCTACACATTTAATTTTGTTCTGTATATTTTCCAGAGTAACTTTTCTAGTATGAGTAAGCATTAATACACAGCCAACATTGATGAGATCCACACAGTCTTCATACATCTTTGGACATCCTTAGGATGAGTCAAGCGGTTCAATCTTTTTTTCATAAGCTAGGAGTCTTAATATGAGTTATTTGCAGTTTATAATGGGAGATCAGGATCCTAAAACCAATCCTCATTTTGCTGGTTACACATATCTAGAAATAAATAGACCCATTAGAATGAAATCTTGTTTCCATTGAGCAGCCAAGGAACAAGAAAGAATTGGTTCCTGAGTAGGAGTAGGTCTCCTTTTAGAAGTTGAGCTTGGTTGAGCTTAGTCTAGGGAAGATGATTTCAGGTGGATTATTTGGGAGATAGGGATAGAAGGATTAATACTGCTCCTACTGTAATTGAGGGGATGCCGTTCTGTTCCTTCAGATGTCCTGAGGTTGTGCTTAACTTTTTAGAATAGAATAGAATAGAAAGAACAGAATAGAATAGAATCTTTCAGTTGGAGGGGACCTGCAACGATGATCTAGTCCAACTGCTTGACCACTTCAGGGCTGACCAAAAGCTAAAGTGTGTTATTAAGGGCATTATCCAAATGCCTTTTAAACACTGATAGGCTTGGCTCATTGACCAGCTCTCTAGGAAGCCTGTTCCAGTGTTTGACCACCCTCCGGTAAAGAAATGCTTCCTAATGTCCAGTCTAAACCTCTTTTTGGTTTATCACATCAAAATGAGGCAGTGTTTTAGCTTCTTTTCATGTTCCTTGACTTGACTTTTTTTTTTTTTCTCCATAGCAGATATGAAACCCCTTTGTTGGTGAATCCCACCATCTTTCTAACCTTAGCTGAAGGAGACACTTTTGATCTCACACACTATGGTGACAGTGCTAACGTTACACTTCCAGAAATGTTTGTAATAAATGCCACACATCTATGTGCGTTATGCAAGAATATGGGGGAAGATACCACAATAAAGAGCAGCACAGTGAAGAATCCCAGGTGGTTCCACAGTGGCATTTTATCCTGTAAAGGCTCCTTGTGTAACCTTGTTTAACCTTCTGTTTCAGGAGCAAGAAGATCCTAATAAGCTTGCTACCAGTTGGCCAGATTACTACATTGACCGCATCAATTCCATGGCAGCAGTAAGTTACCTCTTCTGCAAAGCAGGGAAGATTTCCTACCATAGAGATGTGTTTCTTTAGGAAGAAGTTCCCAAAGGAGAAGAATGTTAGGCCAAATGCATGACTGATTTAAAATAGGACTTCTGAAAGAAGATGAGTATGTGTATTAAGAAAGCCCTGCTCTAGCAGAAGAATAGATTAGAAAGCACCATAAGCATTTCCAATTTTTATTTCTACAACACTGAGCACTGAAGGCACTCAAATTAGATTCTGGAATGAAAATTCAAGAGAATATTTGCTGAATCAGAAAACCATCTATTTGAAAACTAGGTAAAGTTTTGTTTTGTGGTTTCAAACTGATTTCTAACTAATCTACAAAATAATGCTGGGTTTATTAGTTTTGTAGAAGAATTAAAGAAAAGGTATTTGTTTATGTAAGATATTATCCACTTATATAATAGCAGATAAATAGAGGAACATAAGGCTGTAACACCTTAGACATCAGATACAAGCCAACAAGATATTTGAGGAAAAATTTTTTTAATTGTCCTTGTTTGATAGCTGTATAATATATCTCTTCTTCTGAAGCATCCAGTAGATCTGGTCACCAGCAGAAGCAAAACACCTGCATATAGTGTCCACTGATCTCCTTTGATATGGTAGATCTTATATTTTGAAATTTGATCCTTTTACTGATTTTTATAGTCAAATTTTGTCTCCAGTTATTTGTGTGCAATGTCTACTCAGCTTTTTTTGGAAGTTGTGCAGAAGTGATGATAGAATTCTGTTCCTAGCATCTTAGGTAGCACACCTTGTTTGTTTACTTATGCTTTTATGTTTGATTTCTAAAGGCTTTTCTGCACCTTTTGTATAGTGGTTATGAGCTTTAAAATAATTTTATAAAAATAATGCCTTAATGGATGCTAAAGGTGTCAATACTGATGCATTTCTCATGGTGAAACATATCTTGCTCAGTAAAAAAAACCCTCAAGATTTACAAGTTATTATAACTCACTGTAAGAGGATAAAAGAAAAGCTGCTTTCTACTGTGAGACATGAATAAACAAAATGGTCACCTTCCTTCATGCCACATTTTCTTGGGACAGAGTAATGGAATAGAAGGAATATGGACTTCTTCTGAGAAAAGAGGCTGAGCTTTTGTGACTGGCATGGCACTGTGCTTTGATTTCCTGACTGAACAAATTTGCTCTACAAGGCTCATTAACGAAAAAAATAAGAATGAAACCTTGCAATGTCACTGATCCAAATACTTCTGGTAGGATTTGATCCAAGGCCTCTTGAATCTACTGAAAGTTTTTCCATTGATTTCAGTAACTTTTGGATTAGTCTTTAAATGATCTTGATGTTAACCTGGAGTGAATATTTACATCCCACTATTGTAAATCTGGAGCAGTTCCATGGAATGAGACTATATTTTGGCTTATGTTTCTAATTTTAAACATGTTTTAAGAGTACCAATAAACACCAGCCCTGATAATGTTGTTTGCATGCCCCAACACTGAATGATTAATAACCTTTTATTTGGCTTCAAGCCTCATGATTTACTCTTATGCTTGAAGTGTTGAGGAGATACACTGCGGTTAAAACCCCTGCTTCTGATTTACCACTTAGTTGCTTCACTTTTAGGGAGGTGAAACTTAGTTGACTTGATTTCACAGGAATTGTATCAGTGGAAAACTGGAGTAATACAGCTGAGAACCAGCTCCGACACACTTTAAAAGACATGTTCTATTCATTATTATTTAGACCTCTGAGATTCTTAGCTTCCAAATGGTTATTTTGGGTCCCTTATAATTTCAGTCCTAAATTTAGTGGTGGGTTTTTTTCATTTTGTTTTTTTTTAAACTGCGTGCAAGTGGAGTTGGCTCAGAAGTGGTGAAAGAAAAACATGTTTCATGTTGCTTCCTGACACTGTATAGTCTATTTCAGTTTGCATCTCTTGGGCATTCTCAGATATTGCAATATTTTAATTAGAAATACTGCAAGAAGAGAGTTGAAATGGTAGCAATAATCACAGAAGTGTTAAAGTGCCTTCTGTCCTGTTTTTTTTAATAAAATTTAATCTTTGCATCTCTTGTGAATTAACTGCATAAGAATCTTTTTCTATGTGTCTTTCACATCTTTTTCTATATCCTTTTGTTTAATTATGAAGTTCTTTTTTATATATTAGCTTGGCAAAAAAACTCTTCCTACCTGCTGATAAAATGGAAATGGCACCTTTATCCTGCTGATATCTTTAAGTATGTTTCTGTGGATTTCAGCAGGCCAAGGCCCCTGTGCTCAAGGATCATTTTCTCAGAAGACCTGCTGCAGTGTTAGCCATTATATCTGCCCCTCATAGATTATGCTTGAGAGCAATGTGGTGATTCCTGAAATGTTTGACATTCCCTACTTGTAACCTTAGACCACTATGTAAGGAAGCACTTTAGGTCACAGATTCCTGATCCTGTTCAAAAAGCCATGCATTTTAGGCACAGTTCTGTTCCCACAATGGTTTCTGTTGCTGTGACTTTTTAGATTTTAATAGTTTTTAAACCCAGTTCTCACAAAAGCATGACAGTAAAACTGGATCTCTTTACTAGTCTGTAGTGTGCAATTCCTGTGGAGGGACTGTCCCATTGTTCAGGTAGCCTGACTGAAAGGAAGGGGCCAAGTAGGTCATTGGTAGACTAGCCCTTAAGAGAAAGGGACAGCTGCTAATGATGTCTAATTTACAAAGAGGAGCCTCCAAATTTGCCAAGTCTTCTGATGTCTACATGCTATAAATAATACTGGTGATTGTGGACAGGTTGCACGGCAAGAACTGGAGACCATTTCCATTATCAAGGTCATTGTCATCTTCTGCTGATTCATCAGCACACAGAACTTCTTTTCTTAAAAATGGAGCAGCTGCCCTGTTAAAATCACATGTAAAGAAACCTCCTTGTGCTTCTCCTGCCCTCTTCACCCCATGATACTGTCTGCTGGGCAGCACAAATAAACACAGCCCTCGCTTTTCTGGTGAGGAAAACTTCTGACAGCACTGTGTTGCTTTTATGAGCTTGGCTGTGTATGCATTTCCACAGAGAGACTTCCAGGTGAACAGTAGTTGCAGATCCAGCTTTTCTGGAGAGGTGGCTCGGTCGAGACTATGAGGCAGGGGTCAAGATTAATAAATACAGCTGTAACAAGGCCCTTTTCCTTGACTCAGAAAGCATTTCTTCAGGGCAGAGCAGCTTCACAGAACATTAAAAATATATATCTTTCAGCAGAATTTAGCAGGTGGGTGATAAGTCTCTCCTCCATCTGGATTAGGCGACATCTATGTTACTTCAAACTTATTTGGTTAAAAGTTCAGGGTTTTTAAATTACTTCTATTCATAGTTTATGATTCATAGTTTATTCTCTTAGTTCAGCCTTAATGTAGTTAGACATGTGGTGCACCTTGAATTTCAACTGACTTTTTTTCTCTGAAGAAATGTTTTAAAGTACTATTGTCCAGGTATGTCATAGGAGGCATGCAAAACAATATTTTTAATCAAATTTTCATTTTAATTTTACTTGTATTTGTTTATGAACTGGAAGTTATTTCAATAGTGATAACACTTTGTTAGTTATGATTTTAGACAAGATCTAAAGAAAGATCTTGTACTATAATGAGAAATCAGAACATACGGGTTGCTTTTTCACTATTTATTCTATTTTCTTCTTTCTTTTTTTCATTTTATTTGTGTGAGACTGTTAAATAAAACTAGGTCCTTCATACAGTGTATTGCTGATGCTAGTTAATGCCCTTTTTTTCTTTTTTCTTTTTTTTCTCTTTCTTTCTCACACATGCTGTCATTATGGTCCTGTATTTTCCTTCCCAGCAGTTTAGAGGAATGATTAGCCATTAGGATAAGGTGTGGGAATTAATCTGTGCTTTTAATAAAACTAAAATATTTCATTTTAAATAGAGCCAAATTTTCAAAAGAAATTTCTTGGACTACCTGAAGTTTTACACATAAAATTCCATGTGATTGATTGTTTTCAAAAATTAATTCATTTTTTTGAATTGGCAAATCCAGTAACTACATACTATACTTTCCTGGGCGATACAGTTAATCTGGAAAACTTTTAAATATACAAAATGTGCTTGTAAAAAAGAGCCTTATGTATCCCACTGATAGTAACTAGCCGCATCCTCAGCACAGCAGACGTTAGTACTCGAGTGCAGTTTGTAGTTCAGGAACGCAATTCATCAGCCAGCCACATTAATGAAATCCAGCCTCAAATAATGACAGTTCCCTCCCCTCTGTCTCCCAGGGACAATTATGTTTTCTATAACTCTTGCTGAGAAAGCTATTTCATAATGCAAACGCATGACCAGTCTGTCTTTAGAGAGGGCATGAGGATTTGAGTTCCTGGCCATGCACAGGAGTGAGAAATGAAGGGCTTTTGGCTGCCTGCAGCTTTAGAAAATGGGTTTTCTATAATCACCCTCTGTTGTAAAGGCAGGATTATTTGTATTTGTTTCATTTGGAAATGGGCCTTTTTCACTATGAACAAAATACTGTTGAGCACCTTCCTATCATCCATTTGCTTTCCCCCCACAATGGCTCAGAGGAGAAATTAAGCCATTGGAGGAATGGGAGCCTTTCAAAGGAGCATTTATGGGCCAAAGGAAAGATGACCAGATGGGCTGTCACCCAAAAAAATACAAATCAAACCCCAAATCACACCCCAGGACTCTGCCATGGAGGTTCCATAATGCCTGTTCAGGATTTCTGTTTATTTTTTGAAGAGAGGGATCATATATGGCTTGGCTTAAGCATTTCAATTTATGTTTCTGGCTGTTGTGGGATGCTGGCAAAAGTTAAAACATCATCAGCTCATTTTCCATCAGTAGCGCTGTGTCATTCCATTAGGGCAGGAAATAGCTTGCTCTGTTACTGAGTGAATTTGACTTTAGCGTGGATCAGAGAGAGGACCGCTAGAGTTAAACACATCTCCCTATGCCAGCTGTTCAGCATAAGACAGCAACGACATGTAGCCAAATGACCACCCTGAGGATCCAACACGTGTTGGCACCACCTGGTTTGCAAAAGCAAGCAAGGTGGGAGCACTTTCAAGGGAAGTGAGGTGTTGGGCGGGTGGGGGAGGGTTAAAGGAAGTTCCAGTGAGAAGAAGGTTTTCTTTGGTGCTTGCTGAACAGTAAAATAAAGACTTAAATATTTCCTATAATGGGCCATAATTGTAGCTACTCAGATTCCACCACAGAGAGGTATAATATCAGATCCATGATAGATGATACTAGTTTAATTGGGTTATTCATTTGAGAAGAAGTTCAGAGCTGCTTTCCAGATACCACTGAGCGATATCCCTGAGAAATCCTGCCAATGAGTCATTTATCCTCTCTGTTTTACAATTAAAGTGACTAAGAAGACATAGCTATAGGCTAAGAATTTCCAGCACTGAGTCTTGACTTTTTAAAAAGTCACACACTGAAGCTGAGCCTGAATGGTATGGGCACTGAAGAGTCTTGCTTCACATCACAAGGTCTCAGTGGTGCTGAGTGTAGATCTGGAACCCTGATTTCCTGATATACCCCTTTTTTTAATGGCATTGCCTGACTTCGAGAACCTTATTTTTTGTGTGTATTCCACTCATCTCTCACTGTAATTTACAGTGACCCACAGCATCTTCAGTTCCAGTTGACTGCAAGCTCTAGTTATCTCAAGCTGCATACTGGGGGAAAATCTAGTCTCCATGTGCTTCAGTTCACTTGTTAAAAAACAGGGACAGGGATTTTATGATGGTCCAGTTTTTTGCAGTAAATGTTCCTAATTAGCAAGGGCAACGTGTATGAGGAAAATCAGTATCTTAAAACAGGTGATATACTTGGCGTGGAGAAGAAAAGTCAAACTTGTATGTACACAAGCTGTAACTCAGGGTACTTGCAGGCTGTTTAGTCACTTGAGGAAAAAGCTTTTATGCTTTGAAACTTGACACACAAGTCTGGGGTTTTTTTCTTCTTTTTTCCCCCTCCAAATCCCTCCAGACATGTCAGTCTAATAAGATAATACCTCTCCCTATAAACTTTGCCTCATATATCCATAGATCACCACAGCAGATCACTGTTCCAAATTAGGTACAGTTTTCTGAGGGCATACTGGCAAGTATGATTTTTGGGGGGTAATCTGAGAACCCTAGTTTAGCCAGTGTGGTAAAGTGGTATGCTGCTGCCAGTCCACATGAGCAGCCTCATCTGGATTCAGTTTTGTAGCTGAGGCACTGCTTTCCTGGTGAAAGGCCGGCAGATACCCCTGCATGGGTTGATAAGATAGTTATTTTTCACAGTTCCCTGCCTGTCTCTTGGCTTCCAGGCAGCCTGAGCTACCCTGATTGTTATGTTCTTTTCTGAACAGATGCAGACTCTGTATGCTTTCGATGAAGAAGAAACAGAAATGAAAAATAAAATAGTTGAAGACTTGAAGACAGCGCTGCGGACTCAGCCCATGAGGTAATGTTGTTCATCTTTGATCACAATTCACTGGTCAGATGTGACAGGGGAAAGAGTGGCAAGGACAGAAACTTCATTGTCTCACCTCACACAAGCTTCTCTGATATTTCAGACAATCCACAGAAAGCCATACAGTCCCTGGTCTGAACCTGCCTAGTTGGGAGGGCATGCTAATGCTGAAGCATGTAGCTTCAGGAAAATAAAAGACAAAGTCTGTGAAAAACCTGTGGTAGATAGGTGTGAATACAGGTAATAACTATGAAGATCAGATTTTAGACTTCATAGCCCCCTGAACATCCCATGTAATATGTAATTTGATTCATGTTGGGCAAAATCTCAGCCTCTACTCTGAACTTTGAATTCAAGCCTCCCCTTATCTTTAATAACGTGAACTGTTTGGTACAAAGCAGCTAATCCATCTGACATCACCTGGTTTAGCATTCTTCCTGTCCTATGTGTAACTGTGGCGTAGAGAAATGTTAAGAGACTTTATTGTGTAACTGTGTCTTTGAAGGTAAGGTCATCTTTGTTTTTCTGGGAACAAAGCTCTGAACAACAGCAAACTAACTAGCTTAGAAACCTTTTCCATTTAACACTTAGAAGACCATTGTGCAGAAGCAGTAACTATAGTTGGTATGATCTCAGGAAACACTCAGTCAAAAAGTTTCTGAGTGTCTTTGTCTTGGACCCAAAATAGGCCAAATGCATTTGCATCCACACTATGCTGAAGTCACAGTTTCAAAGAGCTTCCATAATGCCTAAGCAAACAGGTGGGGTTTTTTTGGGGGGGAACCTAACCGAACCGAAATAAATAAATAAATAAAGACAACCCCAAAAATAATCCCAAGGGATTTGCATTGCAGTTATATTGACTTGAAGTGAAGATATTTCTGGGACTTGCAGAGCTAAGTGCTGAGTGTGCTTCTCCCCTTCATGATGTTTAAAAAGTTGACTGCATGCAGCTTCTCACCTCATGGCAAGTGTGAGGTAGAACATGTCAGTTTAAACCTCAGTTTTTTACCTCCTGTTGTGACAGGCTGTAAGAGAGTACAAACTCAGATTCTCAGCTCCTCTGAGGCATAAAGATTCATCAGGCTTTGGTAACTTTAGCATGTGGGTAGGTGAGTGCTTTTAACATGGAAATGAAGAAACAGTGGCCTATATAAACACTTAGCCCAAAGGGATAAGTGACTGATCCTGTTTATCACTGTCCTAAAGCAGAGAACACAGTAAAATGCAGCTGGACTTTATGTTAAAATGGAAGCTAAAACAACTGCCAAACTCCTAACTCTCACAAGGATTTTAAAGCAAAGTCCTGTGCTGTTGAGACTTGATGTAGCAACTCCATTACATTAATGTGGAGCTGGTTTGATGCTTACTCTGTGAAAGTGATAGCTTTCACTGAGCATAGCCACAGCAGCAAGGCCTCTCTGCTATGTTCAGCTGAAACACTTTGGTGGCCACCATTGGTTGTTCTGCCCTGTCATTTTGAATAGGACAGCCTGGCCAACTTGTTGAGAGCAAGGCAATAGAGAAGAAGAAATAGAAATGTCTTTTGCTCAAAGCCTTGCAAGGTTTTCCTTCTCAGACCTATATTGCTTCTGCTGGATCCCCTTGACAACAGCCTGTTGCTTCATCTGTTTATAATAACCCTAACAAGCTTCAGTACAAGCATCTATGGGCTGCCCTATAAAGTGTTCTCTTCTAAATCGCTGGCAATGATTATGGGGCTTTTTTTTTTTTTTAATAGTTAAGCCAAGCCAAATTTTTAGTTAAGTTCTATGTCTCAACTAATTTCCAGCGACTCAATTTGTTAGCTGCCAAATGGGGTGCAGGCCAATGCCTGATCAACAAGCCAATTTCTTCTTGATGGAAAGGTTGCAGTAGAGAGGCCCTTGGCTCCATCAGATCCCTCTCATAAGCAGTACAATACCCAAGCCTTCAAAATACTAGTCTTTCTAGTTGAATTTGGATATCACATCCTATTTTCCTTGCCACTTCTGTTCATCAGGCCTCTGAAGAAAACAGATACCTAAATTTACACAGGATGAACTGTCTGGAATCCATTTGTGATGGTAGGATACACAGGGGCTCTGACAGCTTACCAATAGGCTCCTCTGCTTGAATTCTCTGATCTAGAGGAATCAAAAGAAGAAAAATGCATGTGTTTGGCTCTGTTTTATTTTACTGCAGAACTGTGTCTCTCCTAGTAGAAAATGCAGAGTAATGGTACTAATCTGTGCCTCTATTCAAACCCACCAGTTCAAACAGCAACAAAACCTGAAGCAGACCCACCCAAACTCAAGTTCCTCTCCTCTTTGGACAAAGGTGATAGAACCATCCCTGGGCAGCTAGTTGGCCCCCTTTGAGCAAGTGCATTTTGTTCTGGTATTTAGGAACTGCCCTGAAATAATAAAGCCAGGTTATGTCCCAGCACACAGGAACAACCCCAGCCTTAGAGAACAAAAACCCCACATCTGCATCTTGTAAGGAAACACATTTTCTTTTAGGTTTGTAAGAACTTAGGACTATAAACAAGTGTGATGACAAACTGTTGGACAGAAGCAGTGGGAGAAGAGCTTTTCTTTTGGTATTTTAGTGCCCAAAAATGGAGGTTCAGAAGTGCAGCAAAAGCAAAAACTTACAAGGGACTGGAAAAAAAATCACTTTTTTGAACCCCAGAAAAATACCTTCTTTAGTCTGAATCATCACTAACTCCCTTTGCTGTCTGCCTTTCTCCTTTTGTTTTATTCAGATTTACCTCCTGTTATTTTTGTTTGATTTAGCCATATTGCATTCAAGTGCATACTGGAGATGATCATTTATGCATCCATCAAGGAAAATCCATTATGCTGAATTTTTCAGCAGTTCAGTAGTCGTCAGGATTATGCATGATTCAAAAACTGATGCTGCAGGGAAGTGTAGCTTTGGCTGTTAACAGGGTGGGAACATCCTGCTCTCTGCACACCCACAGCATATGATCTTTCTGTCTTTCCTGACCTGGATCAAGTATCACAGGGAGGCTGTCACCCCATACACTTGGAATCCATCAGTGGGTCATTACCTCTTAGGCCACCACATCTGTATTTGGATGAAAGGTTTGTTATTAGAGCTAGTTAACTCATTCTGATCAGCACTCTCTAAAACTTGAAAGGCTAAGAGGTGCCCTGCCTTTTAAAGTGTGTGAAACTGGTCAAGTGAGAGTCTGAGGTAAGGTTAGGCTTAAATTTGCTTGTTTAGCACCTATTAAAACACACCCTGCTTTATTTACTCTTGAGTTTTGTGAATGTGTTAGCCAGAATGCGTTGGCAACTATGTCGAACTTTACACCTTCCAGTCTAGAACAAGACCTTACTTTGCAGCATACAGGATGTATAGGATGCCAGTTAGTTACACATATGTATATTTTAAGTAAGAAGGTACTTTAGGTTTGCTTTTGCGTGCGCACGCGCACACACACACACACACCCGCTTACAGACATCCAGATGCACAAACACCGAACAGTGTGAGGATTATGGCTCTCAGCCTGTCAGCTAAACTCCCACTTATTTTTTTCTCCTGTACAGACATTTACACACATACCTCCCCACACCAAGAAAATCCTCATAATGAGAGTGTCTATTGGCCCAGAAACTGCTATTGCCGTTTCTTTATCTCCGTCTTGCACGATTTCTGTTTTTTCCGGAGAATAGGGAGCTAAGTGTTTTGGAAAAGGAAGGTGAAAATCATCATTTGATCCCTGCTTCTAATGTCAGCTGAAATGGGAAGCTACTTGGGTTTGCCTCCTATTAGGTAATGCAGCTTACTCTTTGCTCTCTGGACTAGGAAGAGTGCAGGAAAATCACAACACTGTTTTAAATTATGTCATTAATCAAGGTCTGCGACACACAGCATTTTCCTGCGCATGCCTCCTTTTTGGAATGACCTCATCCAAACAGTCCTAGAAAAATTGCTCTGTCAGTGAATTTAGTAAGGGATTGTACTTAATTGGGACAATGTGACTTTTGTGCATTTACCATTTTTTTTCACATGGTCATCGGAGCAGGCTAAAATACATGAAGTTTGTAGTGCCTTGTATGTCTTGTCATAAGACCAGGTATTCCATCTGAAAGTATGTTTAAGGGACCTTTTGTTCAGCTGCTCCTTCAGGATGTTTTCTTTTGTCAGTAGAGCTCTGTATCTTCAGAAAGGTATCCATCTTAAGTCTTTCCTCAGCCATGGAACTGAAAAGAACAGGAAAACATCTGGCTTTTTTGTTTTGTTTTGTTTTGTTTTTTCTCTCCCCTAAAAGATGGAGGGAATAGCTAAGGTGTAGGGTGGATATAGATAGCTAAGATATGGAGGTGAGGAGAAGGAGGATTTAAACTAGTCCTTCCATAGTAGAGGCAAAGAGCAACTCAGCTCTTTAGATCCAGGGTTAGAGAAAAGCTCAGAAGTCATTGGCACCCCATTGTTTGGTAACATGTTGAGCCTGTGCTTTTTTTGGTTCCAAATACATCCTTAGCAGCAACTCTTAGCCGTGAATGCACTTATTTCAGTCTTCTTTGGCATGTGTGCTGGTTTTGGCTAAGATAGAGTTAATTTTCTTCATAGTAGCTAGTATGGGGCTATGTTTTGGATTTGCGCTGGAAACAGTGTTGATAATACAAGGAAGTTTTTGTTACTGCTGAGCAGTGCTTACACAGAGTCAAGGCCTTTTCTGCTTCTCAACCCACCCCACCAGCAAGTAGGCTGGGGGTGCACAAAGACTTGGGAGGGGACACAGCCGGGACAGCTGACCCCAGCTGACCAAAGGGATATTCCAGACCATATGATGTCACGCTCAGCATAGAATGCTGGGGTAAGGAGAAGGAGGTGGGGGACACGTTCGGAATGATGGCGTTTGTCTTCTCAAGTAACCATTACATGTGATGGACCCCTGCTTTCCTGGAGATGGCTGAACACCTGCCTGCCAATGGGAAGTGCTGAATGAATTCCTTGTTTTGATTTGCTTGCATGTGTGGCTTTTGCTTTACTTATTAAACTGTCTTTATCTCAACCCATGAGTTTTCTGACTTTCACTCTTCCGATTCTTTCCCCCATCCCAACTGGGGGATGGTGCTTAGTTGCTGGCTGGGGTTAAACCACAACAGCATGCTAGCAGCTAAGTGTATTACAGAAACTGAACTAAGTTTTAATCTTCCTATAATCAGTTTAAATAACAAAACGCTTTGATTGACTTACCAAATTCCTGGTGCACAATGTTGATCCCACTCTCTGGCCTGGAAGCAGAGGGGCTTTTGCTCCTATGATTTGTTAGGGTAGACAAGACGATGCATCCAAAGAATGTGCAATCAGACCTGCGTCAAACTTGACAGATTGTCTTAGCAGGGTTCAACTAAACCTTGTTTTCATTTTTGGTACACCTGTTCCTGTGTGTGCTTGCCCTTACTCAGACACTCACTTTGAAATTCAATTTTGAACAAAACCCAAACCTCAGACCGAAACTTAGTTGAAAGCACCAGGCTTTGCCATATTTCTGGTCAAACTGCTGGCCCAAATAAGCTTCAAGTTGGTAAATCTGTCATCATAGTGAGCATAACTTTCAGGTAGGCCCTGAAAATTCCTGTGTGGTGTGGGATGTAACCACCAGAAGACCATACATGTGTCAAGTCCATACTATCCAGGAGATATATAAGTATGACTTAGGTTTGTTTGGCTGGTGCAGAGACATGAACAGAGACCAGTGAAATTCAGTCTTTCAGTATGGTGCTTCCATTACTGATGCATATTAGGAGCAGTATCTCACTTAAGGGCAGACAGGAGAAAGACAGCACATTAGGAACTATCCAACAGGGAGGAGGACGGGCTGGGTAAAAGCACAGTGACACAGACTTCTGATATTTTTTAATTTGTTACACAGGTGGCAATTGTTAACAACCTTTTAATTTGAGATATCTTTCTACATTATGATGTTTAGAGCATGGTTGTGGACATATTATTGTTGCTGTCCTGGTTTTGGCTGGGATAGAGTTAATTTTCTTCCTAGTAGCTGGTACAGTGTGTTTTGGATTTAGTGTGAGAATAATGTTGATAACACACTGATGATAAGTAGCGTTTATCCAAAGTTAAGGATTTTTCAGTTTCCCGTGCTCTGCCAGCAAGCAGGTGTACAAGAAGCTGGGAGGGATCATAGCCAGGACAGCTGACGTGAACTAGCCAAAGGGGTATTCCATACCATAGAACATCATGCTCAGTATATAAAGTGGGGGGAGTTGGCCGTGAGGGGCAGATAGCTGCTTGGTCATCGGGTGGTGAGCAATTGCATTGTGCATCACTTGTCTTTTCTTGGGTCTAATGTCTTTCTTTTTGTTATATTCCTTTTCATTACAATTATTACTACTGTTATTATATTTTTAATTGTTGTTGTTGATGTTATTATTATATTTTCTTTTATTTTAGTTACTAAACAGTTCTTATATCAACACACGAGTTTTGCTTTTTTTTTCAATTTTCCTCATCTCACTGGGAGTGGGGAGGAGTGAATGAGCAGCTGTGTGGTGCTTAGTTGCTGGCTGGGGTTAAACCACGACATTGGTGTACATTTTGGTAGACTGAAAATTCAAATGTAATTCACATGGTTTTGCATTCAGACATTCTAAAAAAGTGCACCTACCTGAATGACCTGCTAGAGGAAGGAGAAGGTAAACAAAGCAATCTAGAGAAATTATTTGCAGCCCTTTTCATATCTCTGAATCCCCATTTTTAAGCCTGGGAACTCTAAATGAAACATTGCTAGAATGATTGGTTTAAACTAACTTTTATAATTCCATCCTTTTCTATTGATTTGTCTAGGAGGATGTCTGCATGGTCTAATTTGACCCATCTGGATTTTTTAACTGTGGTTTTCAACAAAACCTTACACTTTTCCAAGGACTTTCTCCTATATTGTTTTCATCCTCAGTTTCCATAATCTTAACCTGAAGAAAGGCAAATTTTATGGTAGAATACAGTAGAAACAGAACTCTCGTGATGTCAATAGTCAAAATAAACCTGTCCTACTATAGGTTCAGTCTTTGATGTGTCAATTGGTAACAGATTAATTCTGTATTTCCTCTATTTATGATGTTTTTACTGTACATTTTGCTACTGCATGTTGACAGTGGACCTGTTCCATCCTTTAATATACCTCCTCAAACTAAAAACAAACAATCAAACCAATAAAAATCAGCCAAGGCCATTTTAGGAGCTTTGCCTTTTACTGAAGAACATGTCCCTTTTAAATATAGCATGTTCCTATATTTATGTCAGTACAGCTGACAGGCACAGTGGTAATGAGTTTGCCTCTGTCACTGTACCCAGTGCCTGGATGTGGAAGCCTATAAGTAGTATTGGCTAAAAGTTTGACCTAGGTCTAAAAATGGTTCTCAAAATTATCTGAACTTAAAAGTGTGGTGATGCGTCTGTATAAAAATGTATCTTGTATATATTACCAAGTATGTAAGATGTAGCAACTTGAAAGAATCCATTCAGTCTTGAAAATGCAGCAAATATTGGGGTGGACCATAGCAGGTGTTTGGTGGTAACTGCAACAAAGACCACAGCGATGGAACAGTAGGGTCTTAAAGTGATAGAATATAACTACCCTGAAACTGTGTGACACACCATTATTAGCCAGTCTGTTTTCTGTCTTTTTTGTTTGTTTTGTTTTGCTTTGCTTTGTTTTGTTTTGTTTTGTTTTCCTTAAATACCTGGGAATTATTCTGTGAACTTTAAGCTAAAAACTAGCCAGCTTTTACAGATGCAGGGTTGCATAATATGGTATCTTTTGAATAAATCGCCTTCGGTCTACTTTCCTTATTTTTCCTTCCCTTTTTTTTTTTTTTTTTTTTTTTTCCCAGGTTTGTGACCAGGTTTATTGAGCTGGATGGCCTGAGCTGTTTGCTGAACTTCCTGAAGAGCATGGACTATGAGACTTCAGAGAGCCGTATACATACATCCGTTATAGGGTGTATCAAGGCACTGATGAACAACTCCCAAGGACGGGCTCATGTCCTGGCTCATCCAGAGAGTATCAACATCATCTCCCAGAGCTTACGGACTGAGAACATTAAGACCAAGATTGCTGTGCTGGAGATCCTAGGGGCTGTCTGCTTGGTACCAGATGGTCACAAGAAAGTCTTGCAAGCCATGCTTCACTACCAAGTCTATGCTGCAGAAAGGACAAGATTCCAGGTACAAGGAGGATACTTTGCCAGAAATAGCCAGTATGATGAATCTCTGCAGGGAGTGATTTTTACAGTGCACGTATTGCAAACTTGCTAGGTAGTAAAAGGCAATATTTCTCATTTTGTTTTAGGAAGGGCACTTCCTCAAATAGATTATCAGCGTATATATAATTTTTCAGGACCAGATTGCTTGTCATTAATGCTAACTTAAAATCCCCTATATTTTACTTGAAAATGGGGGTTTGCTATGTTAAATGAAAGCTGCTAATGTGTTCATAACCTAACCTGATGGCATTTGTGGGGCGGTAAAGATTTTTTCTGCCCTAGAAGCTGAAACCACAGAATTCCAGGAGCCTTTGTCCTGATTTTAAAGCCCTTAATTTAGTAATAAAGGAGTTGTGGATTAAATAATGGAGACAATGGGACATGGTTTAGTGGGAATGGTTGATGGTTAGACTCGATGATCTTGAAGGTCTATTCCAACCTAGATGATTCTATGATTCTATGATAAATAATGTACAGTGGAGGCATTTCAATTGCCACTTAGCAATCAATTTGTGAATTGTCACCATTTAGCAATTGTTGGCTCAGATAACTCCCATTCAGAACACAGATGGGAATCTCAATCTTGGAGACCTTGAGATAGATTGGTAGATCATTGACAGGATTTTATTGTGGATACTGCTGGCTGCTATTATAATGTTCCTCTTCCTAGTGAACTGAGCACCTTTGCAAAAAGATATAACAGAATCTGTTGCTCTGTATGAAGTTGTAGCTCCTAAACTTGGGGGTAGCCTCACCCATTTACTATTCTTTGTTATGTGGAACAATTAGGGTGGAGTTAGGCCAACAGGGACAGGATCCTGGTTTCTGTCAGCCATTATCTCCTACCTCCTCCTCAGCTAATGCATCAGTGGATTTTGGGCTACAATGAGCTTACGACTGTAAAAGTGAATGGAGAAACAGTCTGTGCTCATGAACAGTAGCTGCCAATTGTTGTTAGAACTGAATGCACTATGTGATTCACTGACTGTGTCTCAGACCTGAGACTGGGATGCAAGAGATCTTGGCTTGGTATTAACCTATGTGTGGCATTGCCAGGTCCACCCCTCTGTGTGCACTGCCCCATTTGCATTGTTTGTCTATTCAAACTTGGTGTATGTCTTCAATATGCAGGTATGGCACGTATGATGTATGACTCCAGAACGTGGGGGGCCTTTTGATCTCAGTTGAAAGCTCTTGAGGCTATTTCAATAGAGAAAACAGTAATTCCAGTAAAAGTTGGAAGGTGAAGAGGTTACAGCTGCAGTCATAAGAATGCGTGACCGTTCTTTAGTACAGGAGTAGGATAGGAGTGACCAATGCAGAAGCAGAAATGTAAGCCATGTACAGAGTTATGATGTGCAGGTTAATGTGGCCTGCCTATGGAAGAGAGAAGGAAAAACTTTAAAATCAGCTTATTTTCTAGTAATTAGCTGAAATAAAGGATCTTTCCTGAATTAATTTGACATTCTTGTATACCTGGGAGGCAGGTGCAGATAACCTTAGATGCTCAGCAAAAGGCAGTGGTAACTCAGCCCTGACAACACTCGTGGTCCTTTGTTAATTTATCCTTACTTGACCAAGTGACTCTGCTTAATAAGCCCATATGGGAGTTAGATGCTAAGTTTACTCAATGTCTCCTGTTGGACCCTCTCTCTCTCTCTTTCTCTTTTTTTATATTGGTTTAAAATTTACTGAATAACTGAGATAAGTCATTGCTGAGCAAAGTATGGTAGCACAGGTCTTGTACAGCTGAGCTTTTGAGGAATCTGGTGTAATGATTTGCAGATGCTTACCAACTCTCACATTCATGAAAGAGTACTTTGCATAAATGCTTGTTTTTGTCAAAATGCTTTTCCATTGGGGGAAAAAAATGAAAGATAAATGGATACTCTCTCTTTTTTCTTTGTTAAACAAAATAAAAAGCCCCACCCCAAACCCAAAATGATTTAGCAGAAGGGATGCGTTCTTGTTTGCAATTTCTAACACTTGTGTCTAAATGCTCGAACGAGATTTTCCATTACACTCAGCAATAGTTTGAGTTTCATTTTGAGGAGGTAAGGGTTCATCCAAAGATGTCCCTTATCCATCTTCAGTCATTTTCTTCTAACAGGGAGACTGGGTATTTTTTAAATGCTGATAAAACAAGTGTGGTCATGGTCTCCCTTACGTTCTAGTGGAAGATTCTCTGATACTCTAGGACTTGTCAGTTAAGAGAGTATTATTTATCTTTGCCTTGCCACACCTGTGTCTCAGAATGGTCTTGCAGCTCATTGTCCGCGAGAGAGAGAACCATCCAATGTAACTTGACTATGGGAGGCCATTTTAAGAAAAGGATGAGCTGACAATGCTTATCCTATACCTTTACTGTAAACTTCAAAGATGTGGTGTACAATGAAAGCTGGTGAAAGCCTTTTTTTCTTTATCCTCATCCTGAGTGTAATCTTGGTAACCCAGACTTAGCAAGTATCTGAAGAGATCCTTTAGGTTTCAAACTGAACTTTTTGGGGGACATGTTTCCTGTAGCTTGAGCAACTAGCAGCATTGCTCAGTGCATTGAAATGTCCAGCCAGGTTAGAGTTTGCAGCTTTAGGTTGACTTTGACTGGCCACACCTAATCACTGTTATGTTAAAAATGATCCCCCACAACTGGGGATCTGGCAGAACCAAGAAACGAGAATTCTTTCTGTGAAAAGTAATAAGGAATGAACTAAAGTGTAGGAAAAGGAGAAATATACCTTGAATGTGCAGAGTAGGAATTCATTCCTTTGGCTTTACGGTTCATTATTGCAGACTGATTCTAATGGGGGGCGGGGGGGAAGGAAAGCTGGGAGCTGCAAAGGCACTGCTCATTCTTTATCTATATCTAGCTCTGTAAGACAATGGTCAAATTAGACACACAATACCTAAAAGGAGAATAATTTCAGATTCTCAGTTTTGGAAATCAAACTCAGTTCTTGTGAAGCAAAAAGTGTAGGGCTTTCTGGAAACTGTACTGAGCTCACTTTTATCGAAATGTCCAATAAATAACTTTACAGGTAACGCTGACCTCTGACAACATCAGTGCAATTGTTGCTTTTCCTTAAGTTGCCTTCCTGACGACAATGGTTGATAATATTCTGCATCCCTTTCAGCCACCTCACTGTCAATTTATCCCTCCTCATCTATGAAAGCTGGCACTTTGTATACTATGTGTTTGGATTTATTTTCCCCTCTGCAGATTGCAGTAAATCTAAGTGTCCCACTCTCTCCACATCATCTGTGCTGACCAGCACTATGCATCTTGAGGAATCAGGAGGTAAATGTAAGAAACACTGTTCCAGATCTACTTTTCTCCAACACAAATTGTTTTCTTTTTTTTTTTTTTTTGCCTTCTTGCAGAAGAATATCATGGTGATGAATAAAAATTTGGGGTGCATGGTTCTGCTTCCACTCTGTCAGAAGGAGGAAGAGAGGTTCAGAATTATTTACTGGCAACCCTCTAAAACTTGAGCTTGTGCATAACTTGCTGCTAACAACTTTAGATTGGAGCACTGATTATTTCCAATTTGCACATGCTCAAGTGTGGTGGAGCGATGTAGAGATCATGTATTTAACATGGTAACCTAAAACATGACATGTTTCATTGAATGTCAGAAGTTACTGCTGGTCAGTGTTCTAAGCACAACTCTTGCTACCTGGCACAGCTAGCCAAAAGTAGTCAGAGGACCCAGCAACTGGTAAATTAAGATATGGTTCTTACTAAACTTGCTATAACTAGTCTTGCTATAACTCCTACTATTTGAACTGGAAACTTACAGAGTGATAACAATGTATCTGAAGTAAAAATCCAAATTACAGTGAGATTCCTGAGTGATATAAACACTTATAATCCCAATTAATTTAACTAAATTGCACCAGGTCATACCAACTGAAGACTAGCAATCAAACTGTGCTGAAATGTCTTGGAAAGGATGTCTTTGCTTTTTGATGTGTTCTTTTTTTTCTTTAATTGAAGTTAATGGAAAATATAGATGGAACTTTTATGAATATGAAGGACTATCTCCTTAACAAAATTTCATATTTTACTCTGAGTGGAAACTCTGATGTAAAATATTGCTTCTTTCTAAATTGCCAGCATTTTGTCTACTGACTGCAATTATCAATCTAATGCACAGCTTCAGAGAGGAGTCACTTTAAAGCTATGGGAGATTCTCCAGAACTTACTCTTCTTTGTTGAAACTTCAGTCTTCACTCGAATGCCCTTTAGCACTACATCTTCACCCTATCTCTGCTGTTCAGTGTGTTCACAGGTCTATCTTCAGGATCATCTTTGTCTTGGTACTTACAACAAAATTCTATACTTTATGTTTGTGTCTGAATTTACATTGTGGCTATTCCTATTTTCTCACATTTGCCACAGCTTTTTGCCTGAGCTGATCCCTTTGCCTGCTTTGATCTTTGACCCTTCTTTCATGCTGCCCTTCAGCCTAGAATAACTCTCCCTTTAATGTCCAACAGGCAGTCTGCAGCTCCTCTTTTAAGATATTCCTTGAAAACTGTCCTCTTCAGAATAGTATTCCATCTTTACTCAAATACCACCATAATATAAAGGCATGCCTTCAATCTCCTTCCTGAGGCAATCATCTGGAAAAGCTCTGTCTTTTCCTCATCCAGTTTTTGTTTGAAATATGCTGCTTTGCCTACAAATTCTACTCTGCCCCTTAAAGAAGAGAAATGAAAGAAAACATTGGAAATCCAGACAATAAACCATCAAAGCAGAAATGTGGAATTAGAAAGATGAGCCCTTGGTGTCCTTGCTGGGATTCTTTTCCATCTGATGTGTTCAAAACCGGTAGCAGTGTAATTCTGTCACTGGCTCACTGTGTGACCATGAAAATGTTGCTTTATCTTTAATTTCTTAGGTGCTTTTCTTGTGAAGATGGAGGTTTCTAAAATGCTATGAAAACTGAAAAAGAAGAGTCTCTGATTTCAGTGTCATTCATGTCTGCATTATCTTATTTATGACTGGTTTCCTTTGTGAAAGGGGCACAATCTTACTCTTCCCTAAGCTGTTGCCCTTCTGATTATCGTTATGCTTGCTGCTTCCCCTCATTTCACCTGTGGAGTGAATGCATTGCCTTATGATATGACGTTGCACTTTTTAACATGCCAGATTTTGAGTCAAACTAATGTTGCAAAGTCATAGTGCTGTACTGGCCCAGAAAAGTGTATTAGGATGTTCCAGTGCCCTTCCAGCCTAGTTTGCTATCTGAAACACCCATTCAGCTGGGGATCCCTGTGGGGAGAAAGAGTTTTCCTATTAGTCTTGAGAGAACCTACATGTTAGATACTGTCTGAGAGGAGCTGATTTCACTTGATGATGAAAATATTAACTGGGCTGCTTTGGGCAGAATGCTCTTGTTTTCTTCCTTAATGCTGCTAGGAATTTTGAAGCTTGAGGTGAAGGATTAAAGGAAGCTTGATATTGTCAGTTGAAAGGTGGAGATTAGGAGCATGCCTTCCAGAGCCTCCTTGCCTGGCTTGTGCTAAACACTGTCAGTACAGACTATAATCTGTAGGGAGAAATCTGATCAATTTGGAATTCTGGAAGTGGAGCTAACAAGGAACAAATTAAAATCCTGTATTCCCACTTGATTTCCTTCTTCCCCTCAGGGCTCATCCAAAGCCTTTTGAGGTTTTCTGCAGATTGAATGAAACCCTACTGGATGTCAGTGATGAGGAATAATGGGATTAAGTGAGGAAAGTTTTGCTTAAATAGTAGGAAAAACCTTTACAACCATAAGATCAATTGATCCACAGAGCTGGCTGCCAAGAGATGTGGTGAAATCTTTTTCACAGGATATGTTCAAGTGAAGACTTGAACCACAGCCATTTGCAAAGGGTTAGAGATATTGGAGTTCGGTCACAGTGTGTGGGTGTAGACTGATCTTTAGGAATTGCATGAACTTATAGTGTTTCCTTCTAGAGCTGAACATCACTTGAAGACGTGCTGCTCTTCAATTAGCTTGGTGCAACCCAGAGTTGGTTTTTTTTTTTTTTCTTCTTGCCCTGAATTTGGCTTGGCCCCCGCTGCATTCTGCTCCTTCTGAAATGAAGGCCAGAAAACTTTTGTTAACATCCTTCAACCTGTCTGGATGCTGTATCTGATATGTTGTTGCATAGAGTCTAGCATGTTCATAAAAGTCTGTAAGAATATATGGTAGGAATGAGGCCTCTGAAGAAAACCAGCAAAATGGTCCTTGGATTTGAGGCTTTAGTAGTAATGGCTACTTAAATTATTCCAAGAAGACACAAGTGCTTTGGATTTCAGTGTCAAATCTGACTGTAACAGAACTAAATTCTCACATTTATTTCACTTCTGCTTATTTGTCAAGTGGAAGAGTTGGGTTGTTTGGTGAATTTAAAGACCTTTTAAATAGTCTCCTATTGTCATTGTCAAAGATAGGATTTTGGACTGGACTGACCATCAGTCTGACTCATAGGGCATTTCATGTATTTTTATGTAAGACTCATTCCAATTTCTAACAAAATGGGGGAAGGGTTGGTGTTTGGCCATAATATAACTACTGGGAAATCATGGATGTGATGGAAGTTCAAATGTCTGGAGTAGGGACATTTGCAAGCACTAGCTGGGCAATTTAGAAGATGCAAGAAAAAGGGGTTTATGAAATCAAGCTTGCTTGGTAGTGAACATACGATGCTCAGATATAAGAACAGTTGTCAGGAGCAGTGTATGATAGATCAAAAGATTTTTACACAAAAACAAACAAAGGGTTTGCATGAAGCCAGGACGGTATACTTTCCCCTGGGGAATGCACCAGAGGATATTCCCCCTGTTTCTTGAGGCATATCTCCATGGTGATGTCTGTTTTCTACAGGAAACAAGATAGACCTATGAAACTGATGGCTAGCACAGGAAAGATTTTGCTTTGAATGAACGCTTTCAGTAGCCAGGGACAGAAGACTGACTAAAGGAAAATGAACTTCCTTATTCAGCATCATAGCTTCAAAATATTATTTAGACAGATCTGCTGAGCTGAACACTAAAAAGTTATTTTTGTCTTCATTCTCCCTTTATGGCCAAAACTTCTTGGGAAGAGTAAAAAGAATTCTGTCTTTTCTAGTGGATCAGCAAAACAAGTATGTGAGTGTGGGGTGTTTATTATTTACACTGGAGTGAGACGCACACAATTGAACTAGCACATCTCAAATGGATTTTGTTACTCTTCCAGTAAGGAAAATCATCCTTGGAATTATGAACTGATCAGAGAAGATCCTGAAGAGAAGATTCATGGTCATCAGCATAAAGCTAAAAGTAGAGTTGCTTTCATGTCTAATCAATTTCTACATATAACCTCTTTGGTAAACATTCAAGTGAAATTAATCCTAAATAGACTTTATAAGGCACAGGCTACCAACATTATTTGTTTAGTCTTTTTTTCTCCTTTGTCTTCTGATGCTCACAAGATTATGGTGAAATATCTATAAATGTGTAGAGATTAGATCAAAAGCATTTCTGTGCTAATACCCCCTGAATGCTAAATATCCCTGATATTTCGTTAATGGGGAGACATACAGTCTCCAGGGAGACCTTATAGTAGCCTTCCAATATATAAAGGAAGCTTATAAGAAAGACAAAGAAAGACTTTTTACTAGGATCTGTAGTGACAGAACAAGGGGTAATGGTTTTAAACTAAAAAAAGGCTACATTTAGACTGGATAAAAGGAAGAAATTTTTTTACGATGAGGGTGGTGAGACACTGGAACAGGTTGCCCAGAGAAGTTGTAGATGCCCCATTCCTGAAAGTGTTCAAGGTCGGGCTGGATGGGGCTTTGAGCAACCTGATGTCCCTGCCCATTGCAGGAGGGTTGGACTAGCTGATCTTTAGCGGTCTCTTCCAACACAAACCATTCTATGATTCTGTAACAAGGCAACTGGAGCTTAACTGCTCTTCCAGTGCAGCTGTGTAATTCACCTTTGAGCTTTGGAGCTGTATGCACAGGGGATATTCCTGTTATTTGCAATCCCTAAAAGGAGCTTACCAAGAGGTAGGTAATTGTCTGCTTGATGTGAAATGGTTGTAAGTGAAGGAACAAGGAAAATCTTCCAAGGTCCATGTATAGGTTTTATTCCTCAAAAGACAGCTTCTCTTTAGAATTCTCTCCCCCTGTATATGTAAGTGCAATCTGTCTTGCTGAAATCCAAGAAAATAATGAAAATTACTTGAGTGATGTGAGTAGAAAGGATGCATGAATCTGATGATGTTTTTCTGCATGTATAAACTCCCTGTCATATTCACCACACAGAGTTATGTGACTAGGAAGGACATCATTCTGCTGCTTTCTTAGATCATGTTTGCAGGAACCATAAAGGGCATCTGCTTTTTCTCAAATAATAGCTTATTTTTAAAAAACTTTTTTTTTTCATTAGGATCAGGTGGGTATTTTATTCTCATCACTATTCTTCATTTGTTTATTGTGGCATGCCCAAAATTGCTAAAAAACTTGACTGAAAAAAATATTTCTTTAAGCAAATAGATAGCAAATCAAAAGAAGACTGTGTGCATATCCTATGAACAGTATGCAAAATGGTGCAAGGAATTAGATTATCTCCTCTAACCCAGCTTGCTGTTCTGTTTCAGACGTTGTTGAATGAGCTAGACCGAAGCATGGGGCGATACCGAGATGAAGTAAATCTCAAAACAGCCATCATGTCCTTTATCAATGCTGTTCTGAATGCTGGTGCTGGAGAGGTGAGTCACTGCCCTGGAAATTCCTTCCAAAATGTTATGCTTGAATTCTTTTACCTTGGAAATGGCTAATAGATTAGGTCACAAATCTTGTGTTATTGAGTAGATATAGTTTGTGGAAAATAATGCTTATTGTTAGTATCAGTCTTATAATGTCTTCCATGTTATTTCATTCCCAGCCTCTTCTAATATAACATAAGACTACTTGCACTGAAATGATTGCTTCAGGGGTTTTTTTTAAAGAACTGCAAAGCATTTACCTCTTGATTTCAGCCTTTTAGAAAACATTTTGGTTTACCTTCAGAACTGTTTTGAAATGTTGTTTTGACTCAAAGCCAAACTCCAAATGTTTTTATTTAAAAATGTCAAAGGGACACATTTCAGAAAAGATAGTTTCTTGTTTTTCTTTCATTAACAAGACTTTCTTTTGAGTCTGGAGGATAGTTTTAACTGATTTTGTTTCATTAAAAGTGTTACTTCTGTTACATTGGCTTTTCTATTCTTGGTTAAACCACAACAGACAACAAGCTTGTAAGAGCTCTGTCTGGCAATGTATTTGTCTCGATCTCCGGCAGTCCTGTAATATCCCATTGAATAGGTGTCAAGTTTGCCAGAGTATATAGTGATTTTATGACAAATAAACATAAAAACTAGGAGGAAGACTGTAGTACTGTTCATCTGTAAACAGGAGGTAGACCTCTAATGGACTAGCAGAACAAACACTAATAACTTTTGTTCTTTATGGAACAATATGGAGTGTGCTGTCCTAACTGGACATGGAGCACTCACTGTAGGTAAATAAGGATTGTATTTTTAATTGAAACAGAGGCAAAGGTGTTAATTTTTTTTTACTCACTTTACTGGAATTAATCGTCCTATGAGTTTGGTGTCAGGATAGATGACATTAAAAAGGGAAGAACTGAGGTTTTAAGTAGTTGTCATTTTTTTAAAAAACGTGATTAAAAGCTTTTAGAACCGAATAACTTGGTTTGCCCCCACTTTTTAAGGACAACTTGGAGTTCCGATTACACCTACGATACGAGTTTCTAATGCTGGGAATTCAACCTGTCATTGACAAGCTAAGAGGACATGAGAATTCCACACTGGACAGGTAAGACATGTTTTCTGAGAACAGTTATTGATCAACAGAAAAAGTTCTTAGAAACTCGACTCTATTTGGGTTTCAGATTTAAGCACAAAGCTGTCTCTGACTCTTCCTGAAACTGGCTCCCTTAAAGATAAAAAGGAAATTTTTTCTTAAAATCAGCAGATGAAGTAGGAAACATACATACTAAATTGGCAGTGGCTGTGGGAAAGAGTTGCTGAATTGCTTTTCTTCTAAGCTGGGGATGGCAATCAGAATGAAAAAAAAAAAGGTCTAATTCTGTTTTCTTGTAGCAAAACTGGAACAAAAGCTTGTCCTGGTGGGAGGGAGGAAAGCTAGTAGTTCATTGACTTCATTGAGACTGACTATATGTGGTCAAAGCACAGGTTCTGAGTTTCCAAGCTTTTTCTTTAAGCTCAGTCTTTTTTGTGATCTAGCTTGTACTACACCCTCCCAAACAGCGGCACTGGCACAACTATGAGAGAAGAGGCACCTGTGGTGGATGAAGGGGTAGAGATGCCAAGGGTGCAAGAGAGAAGAATGAGGAGCATCTTCAAACAGCCCTGCTACTGCACAAAATGTAACACTGAATGGCACCTTCAAATTACTGTGTTAAAAGTTATGCAGATAATAAATGCTTTCTCTACCAGCAATTCCATATTTTTGCCACAGTAATTGAAGCTGCTAAGGACCTTAAATTAAACCCTTCACAAAGCCACTTGCTGAAATAAATTTGGAGTAAACAATCTGAACAATTTGACTGAGACACTTCAAGAAGCTAAAAGACTGATGAACCAATGAGGAGCCTGGTGAAATCCATTTGCTTAACAAAATGAAGCATTTTAAGGTGTAAGAGCAGGCAGCCCTGGGAGTCTACCTTGTCCTGTGACCACATTAAGCTTTGTGGAGAGGCATTGACCTGCTGATCTGCTGCTATCCCTTATTGTCTGCTACTCCAAGACCCTTCCTACAGAGCCGGGCTGATTTGTAGGTATCTGATACCTGGGATTTCTTAGATAGAAGTGTCAAGTTTGCCAAAGCACATTGTGAAAAACCTGTGGATCAGGCCTATCAAGCTTTCAAGGCTCCGTTTTCTCAAACATCCACTGTCAGGAGCTGCTGTAGGGTGATAGAACTATGCTTGGGGGCAAATGTAGTGTGCCTGAGATTCTGCATAAGCACCAGGTTAGCACCGGCTGTCTGTCATAAAGAGTGGCCTCACATCTTTGGGCAGGTGGAGGCATATACCTGTGTATTAATGTCACAGGGAATGATTGCATGCAGTTGTATGTGTCTACAGTTTGCTGCAGAGCTGGAACCAGTAATGTTACTTTTGATCTACAACATTATAACCAAGAAGAGAATCTGTCCTATAGGCAATCCCTGTTCCTTTGGTCAGTAACCAGGAGTATTTAGGAGGGGCTTAGGGGCACTTTTGGATTTTACAAATTACAATGATGAGAATGATAACAGAGGTTTGAGAGGATCCCAGATGCCTGGATTACACAGACTATATGCCAGGTCTATACAGGGGGATGTGCCACAGCCTTTCTCCACATCATCTGCTGTGCTCTGGTCTCCATGCGAGAGAAGTCCAGATGCCATGGTCAAATGTGTCTGTCACCAGGTCGCCCAGATCTCAACAGAGGCATGCTGCTGTGCTCATCAATAGGGAAATGTAAAGACAGCTGTGTGCTCTGCCGTTTAACTAATTCACTGAATGCATCCCTGCTCCACTGTGCAAAAGAAACAACTTGTTAATGGTCTAATACCTGGTTAGCAAGTATGGCATGGACTTTTTAGAAGTGTATTATCACTGCAGGCATTGCATTCAGAAAAAATAGAATATCTCTTTCCTATTTCATGTTTATTTTTGGCAGCCTTACCTCAACACAGTGACTTAGCACAAGGATTAAAGAGCATGTGCACCTTAGCCAGCCATTCTTTTTTCCATGAGTTGCCTTGCTTACCTATCCCAGCACTTCATGTAAGAAAGGCTTGCCAATTTCCAAGCATTCTAGCTGAAAAAAAGGTGTTGCTGCTTCATTAGTGACATGCTTAGTTTATGTCTGAATTATGCCATGAACTTTGGCAGGTTTTGTTTGTTTTGGTTTTTTTGTTTTCTCTTAGGCACTTAGATTTCTTTGAGATGGTCAGAAATGAAGATGACCTGGAACTTGCCAAGCGGTTTGACCTGGTAGGTTTTTCTCTGGAGTACCTAAACTTGCCGAAGCTGAACATCCACTTTGGATGCTTGGTGCAATTTCTCTTTGTGTTCCCTGAAAACAATGATTGACTTCGGTGCTGAGAGTTGCTGGTGCTCTTGTTTTCATTGTTTCTCAGTTAGCAAGTGGGGGTCTGTGATGTGTGAGCAATGAAAACAATGATCACAGACAAGGCTTCTGCCAAGTATCTTTGACAAAGACTTAATTCTTTTGTTTCGCTGAAGGTTCAGGAGTAGAGGAGGTTCTCAACCCTGCTCTCATGTTCTCAGACCTGATCATCCAGATGCATTCTAGTTTCAGACAACACCTTTACAGGACTATGGGTGAAGCTTGGGCTCTTCTATGATACTTTTCCCAAAATTACAGAAATCTGTCCTGAAGACTGTCACCTCAGAGCCTGTAGAGAGGATTGGTATTTTAGATTGGGTGAATTTTAAAGATAAGCATAAAAAAGGACAGTTTCCACAGCCTCCAGCAACAGTAAGAGGCTGTAGGATCCAGAATAGTTATGGTTTCCTCTTTCTTTATGCCCAGCTCTTGCCGCACACCAATACAGAACAACAAGCCCTTTCCTGCTTAGCTTCTACTATTTGTGCTACCACTTTCGAGGACCCTAATGTTTTACTTGCTCCAGAACAGCTCTTGGTGGTTTTGCATGCCTTCCACCTTCTAGCCCTTTCCTTTGTGGATCTCTTCCATACTGGAGTGGGGATGGCAATGCTGGTTCAAAGACCCATGTGCCTGGTCCTCACTGGAACTTACAGCTGGACACTGCAGGAGACTCTTCAGAGGTCTAGTTGCTGGAAATTTTCCTGTCTCTGTGTTGATCAGATCTTTCACTGTTAGTCAGGCTTTCACTGTGCATGTTTTTTCTCTTACTTGTTCTTTCCTTACCTTCTCCCACTTCAGATCCACATTGATACAAAAAGTGCCTCTCAGATGTTTGAGTTGATCAAGAAGAGATTGAAGCACACAGATGCCTATCCCTATTTGTTATCCATCCTCCAGCACTGCTTGCAGATGCCATGTGAGTATATCACAGTCTCCCAGAGCAAGGGGTATTGAAGAACTGGGTGAAGCTTTGGTGTAGGTACAGGGTCACAGATACCAGGACACACTGCCCTTGTCTTCCATTCAGAACTTGGCAGTGGCTAAGGAACTTGGTATCTTACTCTGACTCCATCCAGCAGATTTTTGTTGCAATACTTAAAGCAGCAGCTTGACCTCTCTGCACTTGCAAATAAAATTAAGTAGCTGAGACATTCCATTTAGTCACTGACAGAGCTTTTAATGATTTTAAATTAGAAGTTTTAAAAAAGAGTCCTTGTGCTCTAGATCATGGAATTCCCAGAAATAGATACCATTTTCAATATTAACAAAATGCACTGAGGAATTTTTCTGGTGAAACAATACAGTACTGAAAGCTGTTCTGTCACTGGGAAATTCCATGGTAAGTTTTGAGGCTGCTATCTCATGGCAATGCATCAGTGGAGAGCTCCTGAACTCAAACTGAAAAATAACATTGGCATTTATTTTCAAGAGAAGTGATAGCAATCTTCTTGTTAACTGTAACAAAATAAATCATTTATGCTCCAGAGTGTAGCAGATGACCAAAGGCATAGCAAGATCACTAAAGAACTGCCTGCCTTAATCCTGTTAGGTATAAGGTGCTGGTCTTCATTACTTTCAGCCATACTTGAGCAGTCAAACTGAGAAGGGAACATGAGGGAGATGTACTGTGGTATGCTTTTTCAGAAAGTAATGTGGTATGTTTTCAGGCACTCATGACATTCAAGTACTGCTGTGCACAAATTCAAGCAGTTGTTTGTCCCAGTGGTCTCCTTGATATTACTTTTTAAGACAGTACTTTAACTTTAGATATTGACCTGCATTTTTGGTGCAAGAAGGGCTAAATCCTGCTAGGCCAGGACAGGATTGTACTGGAGCAGTTTTAAAGAATCTAAAGGTCTAGGTTATGTAACCCAGGGAGCTGAGATGAACTTCATGTTGCTCTAGCTCTTCTGTTTGATATCCATGGGATCAGTCCTTTTGGTTTAATTTCTGTTCTTTCTCCTCCCACTTTTTGGTCATGTTTGTATGAATTTTTCATGCCAGTTGAGTTTCACTGACCTGTAGATAACTGAGCACACAGATAGAAGATCTGATTGTTTATACAGTGCCTGGTCACAATGTTACCTAGGTACCAAAAAAAATCCCCAAACCAAGCCCTGGAAAATACTAAGTAACAGCTATCACAAAGGAATCATTTCTGTAGGCATTTAAAGTGCAAGTTAGGCTAATCTGTCAAAAGGGTTGCACAGCCTGAATGTGCATATCAGGCACAGTTGCCCATGCCTGTTATGTGCTGTTCCAATATGCCAGGTGTTTGTAAATAATCTGCTAGCAACACTTCGGGGTTAGGCCTTGTGTTCTATAACTTACTACATACAAGATTGACACGGAAGGTGGAAAGGAAGGAATGCTAGTCTGTTGGCAGGTCTGTGCACTTTGACATGGAAATGGAAGTTCTCATGGACTGGTCTTTTTCCATATAGATAAGAGGAGTGGAGGAAACTTCCAGCAGTGGCAGCTGTTGGACAGAATACTCCAACAAATGGTTCTTCAGGATGAACGAGGAGATGATCCAGATATAGCTCCATTGGAAAACTTCAATGTCAAAAATATTATTAAAATGTAAGCAGCATTATTATTGTTTATTTCTGTTATGCAGGTATAAGTATATGATAAGTATGCAGGTGCTTTACAATAAAATATCGTATCTGAGGACTTTCTGATTTTACTTTACAGCTTCTCATTGTCTTGTTAGTCTTCTAAATAGTTTCCTTCTAATGACATCTTACCCAGACAGTATTTTCTAGCAAAGTCCTTGCCTTTGGCTTCTAATTTCTATTAAATATTAAGCTGGTTAGAAGAGCAGAAATACCCATGATATTATAACAAGGCTTCCTCATGTGCCTTTTTCATTCAGAATATTGATGAAAGCTTTCACTGATTTAAAAAAAAAAAAATATGGTCATCTCTACTTAGATCTCATTCCTCACTAATGAGCACATAGTTTAGAAAGATTTCAAATAGTGGAAAGCAGCCCCCACCTAGCACACAAAACCTTTCACCTCTTCATAAAATGTCTGCATGCTCTCACCCACAGACTTGGCTGAGAGCACTACTGTTATTTTTTCCCATAGGATGCACCATTTGAGAAGTCTAGCTACATGAGCTGGCTCTCATCTCAACTTCCCTGTTTTCAGTCCTTTTTTAGCCAAACTTTTGGACTCTTCATTGCATTCATCTGTCTCTGCAGGTAATTCATGGCCCATTAAATTTCTGAATTATCCATTGAAAAAAGCATTTTATAGAACATAATCCTTATATGAAACCAAATTCTACTGTACTAAAAATCTTACAGTCCCTCCTGTTACAGGCATGAGCCAAAATCAAAACTGATTTCTTATCATGGAAAAATACACTGGTGTTGATCTCTTTCTGTCTGTCTGGATATCAGACTTCATAGTAGACCTCGTACCTGATCTTCCCTTTCTACTTTCATAGCTACTCCTCATTTTGCATATCTAATCAATCCCCAGCATGCCCTGCATATTTTAAGTCTAGTAGGAAATAGCTGTGCCAGTATGAAATATGTGCATTACCTTGTTACTGATATATTACCCAATACATAAGCATTCTCCCTCCTTGTAAGAAAGAAAAAAATAGAACCACAGAAAGTAGAAAAAAAGATGGCAATCTGGTCTCATATCAAGGGTGGCGTAATTTGTAACCCACAGCAGCTATGATTATTTTAGTGATGACTTCTGTCTTTGAAAATAAGTAGACTTGGCACTTAACGGCATTACCTGAAGACAGGAACATAGCAGGATTTTTCCCCCAGGCATTCCTTTATCCCTTTTCAGGACTTTGAGCAATAAGCCATCATATTTATATTAACTGTTGGCTACAGTAAGGATCAGGATCTGGAACCAGACTGACCAACGGTATGATTCTGTATAAACATGTAAATTCACCAGGTTGCCTTTTGCTGATCACTACACATATTGGCCTCTTGCCTTTCAGCCTGGGTAGCTCAGAACAAGTTTAAATTACCTGATTTCATCTTTCAGGCTGGTGAATGAAAATGAAGTCAAGCAGTGGAAGGACCAGGCAGAGAAGTTTCGGAAAGGTGAGTGCATCCTCTGTGCTTGGGGAGGCAAAAGAGGGAGCAAGTCTAATCCTGACTCGGTCACAGAGCAGTGAGAAGCAGAGGTGGGCACAACTTTTCCTTTTGCGGACAAACCCTGCTTTGCTCCCTCCAGTACATTTTGTCTCATGGTGATCAGTTTATGTGTTTCATAGGATGGGGCTTCCCTCAGTCCTCACATGAAGTGATTTACAGTCTAAGTGAAACTTGGGCATTGCTGTCTTGATCACTGAAGATCACTGTCAAGACAGTCAGATTCTGCTTTCTTTTTCCTACTCTGGGAAATATCTGGGGATTATACATCCCCAGTTGAACGGACAGATTTGTCAACTTTGTTTCAGCATAACCTGCATCTCTTCAGGGACTGTTCATGAGCTTTACTTCATCAGCCCCACTTACCTGTTCTCCCTAGATCATGCTGAGCTAATGAGCAGGCTAGAGAAGAAGGAGCGGGAATGTGAGACAAAGACCCAGGAGAAAGATGAAATGATGAAGACACTGAACAAAATGAAGGACAAGCTGCAGAAGGAATCCTTAGAGCTGCGCCAGACCCGGGACCAGATGAACGACCTGGTGGCTCAACTTAATGAGTTCTCGGTATGAGACTGGGACTCTTCCTATCCTTGTTTAAAGCCTGCTAACTAGTGAATGATGAACAAAAGCACATTATGAGTGAAACACTTTCTATGGTCTGTACAGAGAGAGTCTGCCTAGCTAGCTACAAAGATGAATACTTAGAAGCTGCTCAGCTTTTAGCTGAGACCAAAATCCCTGAGCTGTGGTATAGAATGGATAATGCATGGGCTGCTCCATTCCTTCTCCTCAGCCACCTTCCTTGCAGGAGCTGCTGAGGCACACATGTCCTTCTCCAGCCATAATTTTTACTGCTGAGTGGGGTGGCCCTCCTTGTTATTTCAGTGGAATAGAGAGAAGCTCCCAGATGTGAAAGCAAATTTAGTGAACAAACAGTATTCCTGTCATGCTTCAAGAGCATCTGTACTGCCTGGGAGCTCTGCAGAAGTGACGTTTGCAGCTGTTTCCTACTGCTTGGTGCTCCTTCTGTCCTGGCAGAGTGCCTGAGCCTCAACTTGCCAGGACACAGCCCTGAGAAGTCAGACACTGCAGAAAGCAGATTAATTCCCTCCTCCCCTCTCCTACTTTGCATTAGTGGGGCCTAATGACAGGTATTCAGTATTTCAAACCCTGAGGTTTAAAACCCAGGAGTTCAAAAGTTCATAAGATTGAACTTTTCTCTTTTTTTCATACATAAGGAGAAAATAATACATTTTGGCTTCTTTTACTAGCTTTCTGTTTTTCTGAGCCATTTATGGTTCCTTTTTCCAAGCTTTTCTCCACAACTTCAAGGGCTTGAAACTTTCTCTTAAATGAAAGCTGAGATTCCTCCCTTTATTGCATGACTTTGAGTGCAGGAGGCTTTAAAGAAAACATCAAGTATTTTGAGGCTTATAATAAAATCACATCAGCTGGCAACATGGAGTTATTGTGCCATTTAAACTGTTTGCCTTCTTTTTCTGTGTGTTTTTTATTTTCCAGCAAGGGGGCAGCATTTCCTTCCCACCCCCACCCCCTCCAGGCAGCCCATTAGCTTTGTCCTCTTCTCACATGTCTGAGAATTTGCCTCCGTTGCCACCTCCTCTGCCTTTCTCCAGCTGTCCCCCTCCTCCTGCTCCACCACCTCCTCCAGGAGGACCTCCTCCCCCACCAGGAGCACCACCTTTCTTCAGCATGGGAATGCCATCCCCTTCAACAACCACCTTCAGCAGCAGTGGCACCAGCCTGAAGAAGAAATCTATCCCACAGCCTTCACACCCACTGAAATCCTTCAACTGGGCTAAGCTGAGTGAGGTAAGAAATTGCAGTACTCTCAGCAATTAATTTACATTCAAAGTATGACAGTGTTGAAGTGCAAGGTGACAGAAGCAAGTGACATTGTGGCTTTCCATGGGCTGAGCTCAGTAGGAGTCAGTAACTGTCCTCAGGGAGTCTCCCCAGTTCTCCAGCAGTGCAGCATATCTCCTGTGATGACCAAGGTACTGGTTAGATTGAGCTGCAGTAGAACTGGGCATGCTGTCAGTTAGGCAAAGCTGTAGTGGCACTGAATAAGTAAGCCAGACCTGGGCATCTCCAGGACTGGTGTGCCAGAGCTGCCCTCACTTGCACGTCAGAGAAAAGGATGGCCAGAGCCAATGTGAGCAAAACGTGGTGAGAACCAGCTCCAAAACCAGCCTCCTCTACCATGGCAGGAGCTGTCACCAAGGAGAGAAAGGTGGCCTGATTCTCCTCACCATTTGTTCATGGCCACGAGGGAAGCTGCCCTTCTCCTTGCATGTTTGCAACTCTGTCTCTTGGTGATAAAACTCCACATTGGCAATAAAACCAGGGGACTTGGATTCTTCCTGTTGCACTCATTTTCTGCTACCTTGGTTGCCTCTCCTTCCGCTCCACTCCTTTCTCTTCCTTCTCTCTCCCCCCCCCCCCCCTTTCTCTTTAGGTCTTAATTTTTTTTAAACTGATTTAGAAAAAAAAAAGTGTTTGTACTGAGTTTGGATGGCTGCCTAGAAACCCAGGTTCTCTTTTAGACTGAAACTCAACCAGGGCCCAGCTCTGGCATTTGGAATGAGTATCCAGGGACCTCTGGAATGCCACAAGAATTCTTTCTCCCTCTTTCTCATTTTCTTTAAAATAAAGTGAAATATTTGCTACACCGTCTGTGCTTGTCTGTCAAGGCCATGTGGGGGGTGTGGGAGAGAATGTATGGATGGGGATTTATTTTCCTTTGCAGAACATGGGACTTAGTGGTCTGAAGAAAAGAAATAATAACTAATATATGTATATATATGAATGTATATGAAAAAGAGAGAGTCGCAGGTGTTTCTGTTTAGTGTACAGTAACTATAGGCTTATCCTGCCCTCTGGTTAGGAGTGAAGGCAGCTGTGCTAATAAAATTGAAGACTTGGGTGGTGAGTTGGGTAAAAGATGCTATTTTGAGGAAGGCAGAATAGTTGGAAAAGGGGGCATAAGAGGGTGGGGGCTTCATTTTGGGGTGTTTGCCAGTGTTAGTGTTTTGACCTAGTAAGGTCTTTGCAGAACTGCAGAGGTTGTGGTACAGTTACAGGTGGCTTGCCTTGTTATTTGGGTTGCACTTTGTTATGGAATTATTTAATTCCACTGACTGCTGGAGGAGGCAATATGTTTTGGCCATCTTCATCAGTTATCCTAGATTCCCTGCTTCAGTACCAGACACTTTCTTTCTGTTCACATGGATATGAATCCTCTGAATACAAAGCCATAGGTAGGTTGGATGGCCTCATCTTGCCTTTTGTTACCATTGCAGCATTTCTGTGGTGTTCTCTTGAACTGTCAAAGTAGCCATACTTGAATGAATGAAGATTCACAACAAGTACACTGGCTGGGAGCAGCGTATCTCGAGGTTTTGAGCATGGGAAACAGGCCTGGAAGTATGCATAATATTATTGTGGTTCGTGGTAGTGTTTAACTTCCAATTCACATGAATGCAAGTTTTCCCCACAAAAACATTTTGAGGAAAAATATATCTGACACCATGTTTATGTTTTTCTTTTTTAAAAGACCGGTCTAGTTAGCAAAGAGCACAGGCATGTCTGCACCATGCAACACAGTGAGGTGAGGTGACACAGTGTTGGAAACACAGCTGTACACAAAATTAGGGCTGCAGCCAGGTCAAATATGTTATTCTCCTCTTAGGTATCTCTGCATACTGTTTAGACCATCCTTCTCAAAGCAGTTAGTACAGAGTCTCTCTCCTAAGGTTTCTTTAGTGTGAAGATGATGCCAGGACTGAGGCAGCCCACATAAGAGCGAATCCCTTTCTGTCCATGCAGCCTGCCTCAAGGGAGTAAGAGAAAGCCAACAGAGGCTGAGAGGAGTGTGGACGGGGCTGGCCGAGAGGGATTTGTCTGCAATATACTTTCTCAGTAGTGGAATAAAGGCTGTTCTCCAGGGCAACTCTCATGACACCTTTTTTCCCAATACTGATATTGTCTTTGGAAGGAAAGGACTGAGCTGTTGGGTGTTAGGAGAATGATCAAATATATTCAAATTCTTAGCAGTTGAAAATAACAGTTTGTCCACAGTTCCCATAGGCAGCACAAAAAAAGGTTTGACTGGAAAATATTCATGCTTCTGACAAGGGAACTCCAACAACCCACTAATTTCCTTTTAGAATTAAAGATTTTGTACTAGCTTTGATGTGAGCTGATGATCAGTGGCAAAGCCATTTAGATTGCATGGATGGACTGAGTTCTGATGAAGCCCTTGCACACCACAGCTCCATTCATATAGCACTGTAGCATTGTCTGTGAATTCCATTTATACAGCACTACAGTAGTGCTGATGCCAAGGATCTCTGTTTTTTAAGAAAAAGATATTGCAATGTAACCACTGTAATATCCTGGAAAGATCCTTTTCTTTGTTTCTGGACGGCAAGTGGAGTTTGGTCTCTCACTCTGAATGTTACACAACACCCAAGGTCAAACAAGGACTAGACATTTATGGTTAATCCAAATGATGGACTGGTTTCGAGCACACTGGAAGTATGGATTAATATAATTACCTCTTTAATAAATATAAACATATTGATTTGAAGTTACCAGAGTAAATCAAGTCAACCTTCAGCTGTGCTGCTTGTTTTCTCATGGATGAAGAAGCAGCTTCCCATTAAAAGTCAGGCTGGTAATGACTCTAGTCAATGCTCTGAAAGGGGCTTTCTTTAGACAGCCCTAAATAGACTTCGGTGAAATTGTCTCAGAAGAAAGGTATTTGTTCTACATACCACATAGGATTAAAAAAAAAAAAAAAAACCGACAAAAAACTCCCAAACATCAAACCCCCAAAACTCCAATCACATAAACAGAAAAATGTTCATTTTGACACTAATTTTTTTTTTTAAATGTTTCTGTAATGTTATTGACGATTCTGATTTCTGGACCTTTCTTCCTAAAAGCAGCCTGATCATCATGGCAAACAATGATGCAGGACTGCTGCCAGAGATTCAAAATTAATGGAAAGATTTCTACAAAATCTGAGTGTGAAGACACTCATAATAGCCTTGGTGGTGCCTAGTCCTACAGTGAGATAAAACAGCTGCCTCAATTAACAAACATGCCAAAAATACAATTTTGCTCAAAGTGATATCAAGAGAGAAATTTGAAAAACACACTCTGTTCATACCCCTTTTTCAGATTCATAATGGAATTATGAATTAAAATTTTAAGTTGCTCCACTTTTTGATGGTTAATATTTTACAAATATTAACCTACTAATAAGCAGGATTGCCTGCTGTAGTATTCACAGAACACTCACAGTTGCTATGGTTTCCTTGGACCTGCAGGACAAACGAAAGGCTTTCCCAAAGTACTGTAGGTTTTCACCCATGCTGTGAGGTTACTGAGGCATGACAGACTTTGGGGGCTGGCAGAGTATCCCTGTTTATCTTTCAGGGTAAATAAAATCACCTGTTAGATGTAGCAGAGGACAGCTTGATACGATTTGTAGCTCCATGAAACACTGTCATTCTCTAATCTTGGTAGATCTCTCAGCAAACTGGGCTTCATTACAAAGGTGGAATGACATAACTGCAGCAGCTCCAGCAAGCAAATTGTTAAATGCAACATACCAAAACTCAGCTTCATGGACCAAATGCCTTGTCAATACTTGTTCTGATAATAAGATGTTTCCATACCTAGTATGTACTACCATTTTGCTAGAGGATGCTGGGAAATATAGTTCATAGGATTTGCTTCTCAAAGGGGACCAAGACTTTGCAAAGCAGAGGAATCAGAGATCTTGGAAGACTTGTAGAATGAATGAATGAATAAATAAATAAATATGGGGAGAAAAGCATGTTACAGACAAAGTGACCTCTCTGGGGTTTTTTTGTTTTTTTTTTTTCTTTTTTTAAGGAGAGAGGAAAAAGGAAAGAAGAAATAAAGAATTTATTTTTTTAATTGTTATTTAGGGACCATAAATATTTTTTATGGTGCTGAGGGAATCATTTATCATAGCAACCACATTATGCAAGTCTGTTTCTCTTAAAACACTGTCTCTCTGGCTGATGACAAGGGACTATCAGCCAGTTAATCCATAACTGAGTAGCAAGAGCTCAGTGTAAGAAATTATCTGGCAGCAACATGAAAGTTTTCAAGAGCAGAGTTTAGGGTAGAAATAGAAGGGGCAGCCCCATTGCAAGTGTTTTGTGTAACAAAGATTGTTTATACCTCTGCCTGCCTCATTTTCTCTTTGACAGGGTTAGCCCATTTGGGTTTTAAGCACTAAAATTGGGTTGTTTGTGTCAAATTTCTGTTTGTGCTCACCATTGCAATGGGTGCTGCTTTGGAATTTGTCTTTCTGCTAGAAGTAGCATACAAACTATCCTGTACAGGACCAGAGTCAATCTCGGTCTTAAAATTAATCTAAATTGAAATAAGAATAATTTTCACCTCTTTGGGTTGTTTTTCTGGGAAAGTATGGATGAGAACTGCTCTCTGCAATCCCTTTGTGAGTCTCAGAACTGCCTGTCCTTTCTCTGCAATGCATTCGGACTACCCCGTTCTGCAGCACGTTTTCACTGTTCTTGCTGTTTGTGGGGAAACTTCACTCCCATGAGAGTTTTGCAGCTGGACAGGTAGATGGGCAAGACTCTCAAGAGTAGCTGTCTCTTGAGCCACATCCCGCCTTCGGCCAAACACAGCATATAGCTTTTTGGCATCCTCAGGGCTCTATCCCAATGATGACTCTAAGGATTGCTCCCAAAGTCATGTCCACTGGCTCCTGTCAAGAAATATTCTTCCATTTCAGTGTTTGATGGCACAATCTGAAACAGCGAGGAACTCTGAGAACTGCTCTGCTGTTCAAATACATCCCTTAGGATTTATAATCCAAAGTTTATAAAGCCAGCCTGGAAATCAAAGGAGAATGAGCACTCTGCCTGGATGCTTCTGGCTAAGATTGGCAGTAGAGTTCAGGGTTAGGATAAAATGAAAATTAACTTTGTCTCCTATTCCTTTGGCTGAGGTGAGCCTCCCAAACTTGTTTGTCACATTACAGTCACAGGGTCATGATGTTCTTCCTACTATGGAAAGAAGTGCTGCACTGATTGCAAGGAATGATACAATGATATTGGTGAGCCAGTTCAGGGGTGGGTGCTGCTCCCATCTAGTATATGCTCTCACTGTAAATAGCACTGCAGCACTGCAGACACCCCTCCTTGCCCTCGGGCACTCACAGGCTGCCTGTGGAGGGAGGATGTTAGTTTTCCTCCACAGTGTCTGCCCTGCCAGGAATTTCCTCCAGAACACTTCACACTTTTATTTCCCCCTATTTCATCCTCCCATCAGGTTTTTTCCTTGCTCCTTGAGCCTTGTGACTTAGCACATTTCCCTCATTCCTTTGATGACTGTGAATAGGAAGTAGAGCCTGTTCCTAATTAGTTCTGATAATGAAGTGTTAATGCACTTCGCTGTGTAGGTACAAGTCAGGTACTTCAGAGCTGGAGCCTGTGTGAGGGTTTCATTGCTATTGCTTGCTGTTCCTGGCTTTCTCTGCATCAGTGTTCTGCTGGCTCTTCATTTCCTGGGGTTTGCTTAGGTCTTTTTACAATCCCTTCTGTCCATTTCCTTTTTCTTTTAATCAACACCTTCCTTATTTTTCCAGTTAATAAAGTGAAAGAAATGTACACTTTATTAACTAAATGAACTGAAAGACAGTGTTGTCAGGTGTGAAGAGCAAGTTTTCCTTTTCTGTATGGGTAATTGCCCCAAGCTTGTCCCACACAACATGCACCTTAACAGTCAGTAGGAAGGAGAAGGTAGTTCAATCTTTGGTTCTTTTTTGCCAGCAAAGACATCTGTCCTGAGAAGGTTAGCAGGAGACCCCAAGGCCTTCTACTGGTTTAGGATGACTGCTGATTAGCTAATTCATGTACTGCAAGAGCTTATTTCATCCAGGGTTGGTGGACAGCAAAGTTGGAGGAGGACTCTGTGCCTGTCTCCCTCCATGCTAATCATCTGCCAGACAGCTAGGATTCCCTGGCATTCAGGATAGTGTATCACATAGGTTGTGAACATTTCCAGTTAGAGAGGATGATGCTCTTTCAGAGATCCTGGGTATAGTTTGTGTCTATCTGAGTCAACAAAGAACTCATGTAGACAGGGGAGATCATGTAATAGGAAACAATTAGACTTCAAAGACTCAGAGCCTTAAAAGTAAAATAAAATAAAATCTTAAACTGGTTTTACAGGCAGGCAGAATGAAAACCACACACGCTTTGGGCTTTACAACAGAACCTGGCAAAATTTGCAGAAGGGAAGACGCGTCTAGGGTTTGTCATGCATCAGTGCCCTTCCTAAACTTTTTCTTCATGATGGTAACATTTCTTTCAGCATGACCACAATCATTGTGTTAGAGAGATGGCCACTCTTGAAAGGAATCGTACTGTGGGATCATGGATATTGCTTGAGATGTGGTCTGCTAGTCTTGGACTGTGCCCTTTCATCAGAGGCTTGCTGTAATGAAAAATACAAAATACTCAGTACGTTTAAAAAAAACCAAAACACCAAAAACACACCACTATTTTTTTCTCCTTTGACTCTTGAAACAAAGTGTGCCCTCTAAAATGACAGCAGTAGTACATAGGAATATGGCCAGTGAGCAGGAGAGAATGATCTGTCCAAATGGGATTGGAAGTTCTTAGCTAAAACCTTTTGCTGTCTCATTAAAATATGACCTTTTCTTTCAGGAGAGAATCCATGGCACAATCTGGAATGAGATTGATGATTTAAAGGCATTCAAGGTGCTGGATCTAGAAGATTTTGAGAAGATGTTCTCCGCGTATCAGAGACACCAGGTAGGGGTGAACTCTTCCACACCTTGTCTTCCTTGAATTTCTGGAGGAGGAACGAACACATGACAGTGATCTGGGCCCTTGTCCACCTGCAGTCAGGCTGCATCATTTGCTGCTCTGCCACTGTTCAAAAAATCACAAGACCTAAGAAGTGCAGAGGACATATAGGGCAGAGTATAACCTTCTGTTATTGACGTACTTCATACTAATGAACAGCTCTCAGAGACAACAGCTCCCAACAGGTAATGCTCTGTTTGATCCCAGCAGCCACTAGCTTTCAAAAGCTCCTGGGCTTTACATTCATGCTTGATATCCATCTTTCTGTTTCTCCCATTCGTCCAGAGAAAGTCTGTAGTTGCCTGAGTACTGAGCAAGGTAACTGAATTAGCTTTCACTTTGTTTATTTTTTCTTAAACAGCCAACTGACCCAACTGGCTATGTGACAGAAACTGTCCGAATTACAGATTATAACACAAACAGCATACTTTAAAAGCAGCCATTTATTAGAATGTCTCTTTTCCCTCCTCTTTTTCTTGGAAAGTAAGTCACCTTCAATCTGTCTATCTCTGCTGAATGAGATTTAGCAGGAGAGGGACTGTACTTGCACTCCCTGAACTCCCCCAGCTTTTCTTTGCTTTTGGAATATGTTTGGAGAAATTCAATCTTTTGTACTCTACAGAATTGGATCATTGCTCTGAAGTATTAGGAGAAGACACAGACATGATTGCCATAAGCAGCCTTTATGATTAAGCCTTACAGTGATGATGACTACTTCATTAACTTATTCAGTACCTTAAATTTAACAAACAAACTCCTTGTCTTTGGACTTTCCATCTGCTCCTTTCTCTCTCTCATTTTTTTTATCTAATCCAATAAACATAATGAATAACTGTTCTGATTTACTAGCTCACAGCCACATAGATAAGCATCCTAACTTGAACTGTGAAGAATGTGATGTTACCCACTGCATGATGAGATTTAATTTCTCATTCTGCTCCTGCAAATAGCTGTTGCTGTTTCAGTGGTTCCCTCTCTCTTTCTGTGAAGCCCATTCCCTGAAACAAGAACTTAGTTCACAGAGGGAAAGAAAGGCACATGAAACTTCAGTACTGTTACAAGACTGGATTTAGACCTCGTGCCAACAGCTTAGCTGTGGTGGTGAGCTCCCAGTTGTCTTGCAAGTAGTGAGACTGTCATCTGTGCACATGAGTGGCCATTGCCATCAAGGTGCCATTCCAGTGTTTTGGGTGCAAACATTGCAGTTTCCTCACTAGAAATGACCTTGCAAAACCTTCTTTCCTTTTGGCCCCAAAATCCAAAGCCAAAGCTGTCCTGGTCTGCTGACTCTCAGAATCATAATATTTATGCCTGTGTTACTGATCACTGAAAAGCATCCTGGCCTATTCAACTGTAAACTAATCTGACCCTTACCCCTGTCCACTGGAATGGAGCAATCATCTCAGAGTCACCTCCATGGGTCTCAGAACATTTCTCTTCCATCCTCATTAAACACATTTTATGACAGTGGCTCCAGACACTAGAGTATCACTTATGTAAGCTACTCATGTTTTTGTGTAGTTAGGTGTATTGCTGCCCTTCTAGCTTTCATTTAGGGTTTTTGTTTGGTTTTTTTCCCCTTAAAAATATTCCATTTTTATTACTTTACATGATACTTTCTTTTTCATCCATACTCATTCCAGTGTGAACTGGATTCCAGTCAACAGGTCCTTATCAATTTTCTTTCTTTTTTTTTTTTTTTTTTTTTAAAGACCAGGCAACCAAAATTGTTTTTGAATCAAAAGCTTATGAGAAATTTTCCAGTTGATTCACACTTAGTCTTTTCTCCTCTTTTATTTTTGGAAATACTCCACTCTGGCCAAGTATGTGTTTACCCTGGGTTTGTGACTTTTAAACTTCATCCAAATGTCTGCAATGAAAAATGTCAATGCAGAGACCTGCTCTTTTGCATCTGAAAAGTTGAATGAGTACAGATAAAGACATTTCTTTCTTTGCTGTTTTTAATGTGATCTTCATATTTTTTTCCAGTTTCATTTACATTAAACAGCTTTTCTTTCTTCTTTTTTTAATTGACAAAGGGTCTCTTCTCTCAAGCCCAGTGTATCATTTTTGGTGGCTATGAGGGAAAGCAGAATTGTCCAGTGTACAGAATGCTGGAACAAGAATCCTTACACTTGTGTTTTGACCTTGCTCCAATCTTACTGTGTAATATTGACCAGTATACCTGGTGTTTTCCTGGAGTATTGAATATGTTGTGAAATAGTTCATGTCTGTCATCCAGTAGTGCTGTAAGGCTTCTTTGGTGGTTACAGAGTGCTTTCAAAATACTTGGCTATAAGTTGTTAAAGGGTATAAAGTGTCATTGAAACAAGTTGTTACTAATAATGGCAAACTGTGCCTGCGCATCAGAAGAGGAGAACTGACCCTCAAGTTTTAACCTTGGCAGTTCTTTCAGTAAGGCTCTGGACTAGATTTGTAAAGGTATTTAAGCATTATCCTAGTTAATGTTTCAAGACCTAAGAGATTTATGCTTTGGAGACTGAATTTATTCTTTTCAGAAAAGAACTAGAACTCTTAGTTCCCCAAAATCTGCTGATTTAAAATATGCAAAGAAATGCTGAAATACCTTCGAACCATCTGGGCCACTATTACTTGCTAAGCGTTTTATTCTTTTAGAAAACAGTGTGTGTCTCAATTCAGCTGCCTTGTTGAACTTGATATCTTTCTTTGTGACTAATTTTTGGCATGTTTCCTTCTTCGTTATTTGTGGCTGCTGCCTGCATAGGACCTGCTAACTAACCCCTCCTCCTGTAAGCAGGTGAGTATTATTGTCTGCCTCCTGATCCTCTTGCAGAGTGTGGGAAGGTGAAGTCCTGAATCATGCCATTATAGGGTCATGACTCATCCCATACTACTCCTTCATATGCCCTTGCACATCTGCTGTCTGGGTGGGGAAGGTGGTACAAAAAATTCCTTTAGTTGTATTAGCTCTGCGGTAGGAAGTAGTTCGTGTTCTTTTAGTTAGCTATAACCTCGATGTGGTTTCTGCTGGTGTCTGTAGTCCCCTTTTTGATGATCCTGAGGAAAATGACCAAGGACAAAATAGAATGTGTACATGAACTCTTCCTTAACCAAAGCAATAGTCTCTCTAGTGGAGAACAAAAGGAGCTCTCAGGGAGCCTTCACTCCCACTGTTCCCATCTGTGGTACATCTGCTTTGGACAGTACTGAAGTCTCCAGTTGTATTCACTAGCCACAGACTTTCTGATAAAGAAAATCTTTCTTTCTGTAGAATTGAAAGGCTCTTTCGTTGAGCAGAAGGATTTTTGCCAGCTGAGGAGCCGAAGGGTTAGACTGGAGGAAAGCCTACTTCATTTCAGGCTGCTGAAACCCTCAGAAAGTTCAGCGAAAGACTGAAATGGTGTTTAGGTGAAGCAGAGATACTAGACCGCCCACATGCCTTCAAACTGGCTACCTCTCAATTTATTCATCATCTTAAGCAAAATTCTTAGCAACACTCTTGGGAAGAGCAATGCTTTCAGAAGAGGGGTGTTCAGATATCATCACAAGCGTCTCTGGTGGCTTCAGAAGAAAGTAGTCCTCACCACGAGTGCTCAGGGAACTGTATCTGGAAAGTCTAGTCAGGACCTCTGCCACTGGGTGAAGCTAATATGTGGCTCTGGGCCATTTACTGGCTTTGATCATGGTAGCAGGCACCATGAAACAAGTCAATATGGTAGAAATAGCTCTCTAAAGTATTGATAATCACTAGAACCTAGGGTGCTGCCGTGGTACCAGACCACAATTTCTGCAGCTAACCAAAATCAAACTGTATTTGAAACAGGGCAGCAATACAATGAACACATTCCACATGTCTAGTCATTCCAGCACTGAAATTTTAGTTGATTTTTGAATTTGCAATTAAAATCTCAAATCTGAAATACTCTTTGAAGTACATAACATAATGTTATCCCAGATGGAAAGTTGGTAAAGAATGATGGGATAAAACTTAGGGATCTTGTCTGTCAGGTTGACAACAGCTCCAACTATTCTTGCTTTGTGTGCTTGGGCTATCTCACAAAAGTTAGTCACTACTGCCCCCTTGCTCCTCTTTTTCGGTGTCTAAGAAAATGCAGATAGTCCATATGCAATCTGTTTTCTTTCAGCTAAACTTGCAATCTGGCTTCAGTAGAACCTGAGGCTTCATCTGCTTTTGCTTACACGCAACTCCAAGTATCTATAAATATCTCTCTTCTCAATATGAGTTGAAAAGAATATATTTTTAGATGAGACTAGCCCACTCCTTATGACCAAGGAGTAGGCCACGTCTAAGTAGTTCAAGTTATTCATCTGTGTTGAACATTGTGGGTTAGGGAATTGGAAATAGCATGGAGACTATTACACCAATCCCTGCTGCATGGCTTTAATGGCTTTAGGGGAAGCCATGTAAACCCCCACCTCACACAGCCAAATCCTGAAATAATTTTTTTTTTCCTTGGCATGGGTGCTAGTTAACACTAACCAGGTGTCCTTCTCTGCAGGCATCAGCTAGTGAGGGACAGTGAGGCTTTTAAACCAAGAGCACAGACCAATAAGTACCTTTCTTGCCTTTAACAGCTGCCTATCTTCCTGTTCCCCTGTTTTCCTCCCCACAAACTGAGGAAACTCGGGAAAACTTTGACATCTCTACATGCCAGATTATACTGGAGTTGCCCTGCTTTTTGTATTGTTAGTTATTCTCTCAGAAATAATAAACTTGCCCTATGCCCAATTTTTCCTTTTTTGGAAATGCTATTTGATGTATCAAGTAATGTTGCAATTTTCTTCTGCCAAGCTAGACACTCTGGGCACATCCAGCAGAACTACTGTGTGCTTGTCTTCAGCTGGTGCATTGTATCTGCTTATAAACGCACTTAGTATTGGTGGTGGCTCATTGCAGCACATTTGGATGTGGTTGTATGAATCCTTTGTATATCCAGGAACAACACAGGCTCATTGTAGCTGATTGTACCAAGAACTCAAATGGCAACTAGCAATATGAATCTATGACTTACATTTAACTCTTAAATACTTGGGTGTCAAAATTTCTTGGAGTGGATGGGTTGAGCTGATATAAGTAAGCCTTGACCTGCAGAACTTTGAGTACTGGGAGTGAATTCTGGGAAACACCACTGTATGCTTGCCATGATCTTATACCTTTCCCTGGGTATCTGCTGTTGACCACTCTCAGGGACAGGATACTGGGGTAGATGGACCTTTTGATCTGACTCAGCATGCTTGCTGTTATTTCCTAAGGAAGAAGTCACATTGCTAATTTGATGGGTACATTCAAAGCTAGATTATACTGGTAAATCTCAAAATCTCAAGGCATGACAATATGGATATCATGGAAAGGCATTTTTGAAGAGGTTCCAGCAGCAGTTAGCTGGGAAAATAATAACTGTCCTGTTTCCAATTCCCTCTTCTCTGTTAGTAACTAGAGAGCTATTATCCAGGATTAACACCTTTTATCGTTACATCTACTTCCCTTTAAAGGAACGGTGTTAAAAAATACTCAAAGTAACTACAGAAAGCCAATCTCTGGAAGTGAAACAAATCCCATGACTCTGGTGTGTAGGCAAGACAGTAGGTGTGTGGATGGTCAAACTGGGTTTGCAAATAGTTTTGGTGTGCTGTGACAAACATTTTGGAAGGGGATTTTTCCATTTTTCTAGGTGATGAGTTTGGCAATGGGGATATACAGAGAACTTTGGAAAAGGGTGGTTTCTGTACGATTAAAGGTATTAATTAATTTAAAAAAGAGAGGCTAGGTTAGATGTAGATGTTGACCATTTAGTAAGACATATTTAGTAAGATAAATGCCATCTTGCCCTACTCTTTGTATCTCTCATATAATACGGATTGGATTGGTCTAGTGGCAGCCTCAAGAGATGATGGAAGGATTTTTCCTGATTGTGCTGCAGCCTTTCAAGAATGCTGTGTAACCCCTGCAGGAGGCCTCTGCTGAAGGATATGCTGTGACACCACGCCAGTGGGCTTTACTATAATGTGCCCAATTTTCCTGTCATGCCAGTTTTTGTACGCTAACATAATAACATAACTGTTGGTAGAGTGAGTCCAATAGGTCAGAATCAAGTCCTTTAATTGGAATCAAAGATGATCTCCTAGGTGGTAATGAATGACTTCTGTTTGTCTAGTAATACAGGATCTACCTACATGTTTTCTGCCCTTCTTGTCTCCTTTTCTCACCATGAGGGTGGATTTCCCCAGGTTGGAATGGGTTTTGCTCATTACACAGCTAAGTCTATCAGCCTTGGGTGAGAAACATGATACTGATTGTTTTCCTTTCCTTTTGAATTATATGCAGAAAGAGATGGGTTCAACAGAAGACCTTTACCTCTCCACACGAAAGGTGAAAGAGCTCTCTGTGATTGATGGCCGGAGGGCCCAGAATTGTGTCATTCTACTTTCCAAGTAAGTGTGCTAAGCCTTAGCTCATAAGGTATGCCATGGTTAATGTAGAAACAAGAGGGGATGGAATTAAACAAATGGACATGTTTCTTTTCCCAGCTAGACCTGCTGTCTAATACCTGCAGAGCTTGCTTCAGAGAAACCTCTCTTGCAGTGTCATAAAAGCACATGTCTCTCTGAATTGTTAGCTCACTTAATAAACATATGCACACACACATTTGTGCATTGAACCCATAGACACCAGGATATCTCTGAAGACTCATCACCAGAAAACTATCAGCACTCATAGGCAGATGAAAGCAGCTCTTTGGCAGCGCTTGCACTTCACTCTAAATAAGTAATGTGTCCCCCATGCTCTGTGTATGTAATTTGTCTCTGTTCTGTACGTTTCTTTCTAAATGTTGCTCTGAACATCTCCCTGGAATACAGCAGAGCTGTGAGTGATATTCATCTTTGTCATTTTTGACTCATGGTGAGAAAAGTGGTAAATGTAAGAAGATATATTCAAGAATTAGGTCTTGTATTTGTAAATTAGGTTTTGGAAGCCAGAAGTTGCCTTCACATGCTCCTGCAGTGACTAATGCCTCAAATGCTGTGACATCAGGGCACTCTATATGCTTTTCATGTCTTTCTACCAACATGACTACTGGACTGGATGTCTGTCACCAACTATAAAATTTGTGCAGACACTGATCCACCTGAGAAAGCTGCCTTTCCTACCAGAGAAGGGACAGCAGGGCTGGAGGCGGAACCTGGTAAAGCTGTGCCAGTACTGAGCACAAAAAGTGTGTCATTGATCAGTAGAAAATGCAGATTCGTATGGATGTGATTGCTTGTCTGCTCTAGCATGCTAACGGTTAAAAGTAAAGTTGCAGCCAGACCACCAGGGCTGGAGTGAGTTCTTTCGGTTGCTTAGTGAAACCTTTGGAGGCTTTCATTATGCTACTCATATGGCATTAGCCTGCATGTCAGCAGGAACCCCACCATCCAAACCAGCAATGAGGGAAGGCTTACATTTCTCTTTCTGCAGCAGTTGCCAATGCATGTCTTTGCTGGTCTTGGCAGCTGACTGCAGGCTGGGGCAGAGGAATGGGGAGGCATAGGGGCAAGAGGATTTTCGTGTTGTTTGACAGACCTGCTAAATTGTGTCTGGGGTTCAGATTAACTCATGTATGCAGGTGGAACATTTCCTAGAAGTGGTAACATAATGTGTGCAGCTGGCTGAGCTGAGGAGGATCCAGGAAGGTGGTTCATGAATTGCTATGACACTAGATATTTATTTGTAAAAATCTGTCTTCAAAACAAAAGCAGTGTGGATGGCAGCAGTATGTGTTTTTCACCATTCATCTCTTCTGCTGTGCAAGTCTGGCCCCTTCTTATCTGAAAGGAATCCTCTCTAAATGGTGAGAGAGAGAAAGGACAGTCTCTGTGTTTTTTTCTTCCCTTCTGCTGCCTCCGGCAAAGTGTCGTTGAAACATGTACCTTGCACTTCAGGGTACACAGCGTGTGTTCATACCAGGTGTGCCACGAAGCCAGTCCACCTCAAGCTGCTAGTCTGGACTCAAACCAGAGTTGGAAAGCTGTGTTTTGTGAATGTCAACTTCTCTACTAGGAAGTATCCTGGTCTTATTGTTAGCAGGCCTAACATGGATGATAGAGATTTGGAGACTGAGCTCGCTGTCCCTAAGGAGCTTGCCAGTTTGCATCTTGCCCTGTTAACTTCGCTGTGCTGCACTATGGAAAACACCAGTCACCAGGGCTGTCACTAGCTTAGATCATTTAATGTTTGTAACAGATAGTTTACACCCAGGATATCAGAAATATCTTACAAATTGGGCCAGGATTGCTACTCCTCCCCAAACTTCCTTTCTAAATGGAACTAGAAAATAAAAAATCTTTGGGAATAAAATGGTACCTCTACATTCATGCCTCTTTCTGCTTTTTGTGTTTATATGGTTCTATTATTAAAGACAGTAATTGGGAGGATTGGCTGCAGGCAATAATTGAAAGGGTTTTATGACCCCTTTGCAGTTTTTTCATTCAGCCACTTCTTCCTCCTTTAGGTTAAACCCTGAAGGAGAGACACTCCCAGCCAAATCATCCCTGACTGCTGCCATGCCCGTGCTGTTCCTGCAGCGCACCTTGCACATGTGTGCATGTGGGTGTGCACACACATGCAATGAGAGGGGATTTAAAACTGGTGACAAACAAAGAGAGTTTGTGCAACCCTGAGCTGCAGCCCCAGCTTTCAGGTTGCCACAGTATCTGCCAACAGCTGTTTCTAATTGACTCTTACTGTGCATATATTCCTGTAGTTTATTCCCCCTTTGTTTACACTAAACTGTCGTGTCCTTTAAAGTAAAATAGCTGCATGGGTTGGGTTTTCTTTCCCTCCACTACTCAAATGTTATTGTTTTACTAACACTGTGTTAGAAGGGGTCAGGCAGCACTCATATTTCATATGGTCCAACAAGCCAAAACCTAGCTAAAGTGAGAAATAGATGTCTTTTGCTTTCTTTTGCAGAGAGACAGGAGTATGGTAGACTGAAAAGAGATTAAAATTGAATTGCTAGTTGATTTTTGCTGACAGTTAACAGATTTGTAAGCCTTCCTCCCCATTCTCATCTCTATTTTAATTTTAAAAAAACTCTATTTCAGCTACTTGATAGCAGCAACCTTCAGTTTTCCTGCAGTGGAAGGATGTAATTGTCCTTGTTTAATGGAGTCTGATGGATCCAAAATGAACCTCTGTCCCATAGGCCAACTGTAAAGGTTTGAATAGGCACAAGATCAATTTATCTCACAGTATTTCCAGTAGGCCATAATTCAACCAGGACATGGAACCATCTGTCTGTGGTGAGTCCAAGTGCCCACCAGATTCAAATCTGGCTTTCTTAATGGTGTTTCCAACATACAGTTATTTCTGTCACACTGGAAATCTGCTGTCCGTCATGAATTTCCTGATGTCTTCAGTTTCCACCAGGCTGAAGATTTACTGTCAGACTTGTGTGGTCTGGAAGAGTCATCCCAGATCCCTGTGTTTTCCTGCTTTCACCTAGCAGCTGGAAATTTCCCTGACCTCTCTCACCAGTATGGCTTCTCCCTGCCTCTGTTACTTAAGTAATGGCTAGTATTTTTGCTGCTCTAATGTTTTTGTTGTACCATATCTTCAAATGTTCTGGCATAACATGAAATGGTCCTTGCAGAACATGCCTAAGACATATCACTTACTGTCTTGCTCTGTGAAATGCTCTGGAGAGGTCCAGTTCTAGGAGACATGTTACTCAGAAGAAGGCTAAACATATACTTATGGAACTTTTTTGTGCAAGTTATTTTGCATGAATTCCTGCAAAATCATTATGTCAGTGTTCTTCTGAGATGTGTTTGTTATTCCTGTGGCCCAACTAGTCAGCAGTAACCCTCTCAAGAGGCTGGAAACAGTAGGAGTGCTAGCAAAATGTCAAAACCAGTAGTAGGCAGAATCTAACTACACAAAAATAGTTTTAAATGTGAATATGACAGTAGATAGATACTAGCAGGCAGCTAGTTTGTGGCTTTTCTGATTGTCGATTCAAACATCTATCAATAAGGGAGAGGAAAAGGGACTTGTGACGCATTTCTAACCAGAATACTAAAGAGACCGAGTATTCCTCTCACATAGCTGTGCCTCCTCGGTGCTTCTAAACCCTTTCAGTTCAGACATTAAGAGGACAAGCTATTCAGCCAATGTCATTCTCTGTGTACTGCCTCTGCTGTGCCCCCAGTCCTGGTGTGCCTTTCTGCCATGTGACAATACAGTCTTCACCCTTATTTCAAGGTAGATTCCAAGCAGTATGATATTTTGGGGTACAACTCATATCTTAATACAGAAACAGCTCATTTGACTCAGCAGTTCAGGTCCTCAGTGTGGTGTCTTGAAAAACACTAGATAATAAACAGTGCCTCCTGGGTTCCTAGAGAGATTTTCTGGTTTTAATTTAAGGTCCGTAATAAAAGGCTTTACCTGAAATTCTGAGTATGATAAACCCCAAGGTTAAACTGAGTATGTCAGTTGGTGCCATCCCATCTTTGATCACAACTAGGAACCAGTAGATAGGGTTGTGATAAAAGATGAACCACTGCCTCATCAATATGTCACTGTAATTTGGGGATTCCCAAGTTTGGCCTTGCTATGCCCAGAAAGACGGCCAGCCCAGATCCTTCTTGGTAGGAAATTGAGAGTATTTGGTTGTAAAGTAGCTTGGTCCCTCATAAGCTTTTGCTGAAGGAGGAAAAGAAAAGCCTGTTTCTTTATGCACTTGGCAGAATACTTTCACAGTGAAGTGCTGAAAAGGCACTGGTGGGTTTTTTTCCCAACATGTAGATATAATGGTGTAAGATGTACCTTGTAAAATGTTCCAACTGTTGTCCCCAAAAGGTTAAGGCACTGTCTTCTTCACTGACAAGGTGAGATGGCAACTGAGATAAGAGGATGTGAAAAGAGTGGCTGCATCTTTCTGAGTGAATATGCAGTTAGACCAGCCCAACACCTGAATGCTTCTTCTGAGAGCAGGGAAAAATCTCCTTTTCCTGCCTTTATGGGGTAGTGACAATGAGTATTCCCAAAACACAGACATTTAACAGCCTGCAGCTTGGCAGTTGTACAGAGCCTTAGGAGAGCTCAGGAGCTAAGAGAAGGCTTATGTCCCAGTCACAAAGTTTGGGAGTGAATTGACTAGTAGCCTGTGTGAAATGAGTTGTGAAGATGGGGAATTGTGCAGTCAGTAAAAGCTAAGATTTGCATGAGCTGTACAAACTGGCTTTAGGATGCAGCTAAGTATCAGTCAGTGCCTCTCACTGTCACAGCTACTACTGTAGCATCTTTTGGAAGCACTGTAGTTCAGTTCAGTTTGAAGCAGAAAATGGCCTTGATACATGATAATCAGTCCCCTTCTCCAAGGTAAAAGGAAGAGTGGGAGTGTGATCCCTGTAGTATGGGATCTTAATGTAGCTCCAGCGAAACTCTGGGTTCTTCGCTAACAGGCAAGCATGCTTCTTTCTCAAAAGCTAAGCAAGATCCAAGGAACAAGCCCATGAAGTAATCTACTTTTTCCTCTGAGGGGGAGATGGTTAATGAGCAACAAGTATTCTGCTTTGATCCATGGGAGGGAGGAATGAAGGGCGGAGGTTACTGTAAGTTAAATCAATGGGTATATTTAAGGAGGAAAAATGAGCAAGCACTGGATGTCTGTAATGGAAGTTGATGTAAAACTGCAGCGTGTCTCCCAGGCATGTTCAGAGTCAGGTGCTGGCTTTCTCCAAGAGGACAAAACAATAAACCACTTGACGTCTGCAAGTGATGCTGGTGTTAAATCAGCGGAGGTGTCGTGGGGAGATTAGTGATGAATTACTCTGCAGAGTCAATAGAGATTATTTATGAAGCCGGAGGGGATAGAGGGAGGCAAGCTAAGTACCATATCAGAAGTTATTTGGTACTTGTTGAGCTTTAACACTGCTTGAAGATGACTCAAGCAGTTGGACTTCCATATGCTGCCACCAGATGTACAGGTGAGGGAAGAAGGAGGGAGTATTCTCAGTAAAGATCCTTTTCCTTCCTCATCTGACCAGCATCAGACTGCTGTTGAACAAAAACGGTCAATATCTGCGCTATGAATGAATGTGCTGCAGCTGAGGAATGGGGCACTGTTTTCTTCTGGTCGCATTTACTTCCTGAGTTCTGATGCCAGGATCTGTGATCTGGTGAAGCGTAAGGCAGAGAGAATACAGCTTGAATTGTATGCTGTTCCGAATCGAGTTGTCTCCAGCAGCTGAAGGAAGAGTGCCTGGATCTGCAAAGCTTGTAAGAAAGTCATTGCAGACTTTCCAATAGATACTGAAATGTAATTTCTGTAGTGTAAATTTTTGGGCCATTATTCCACTTTAATTTGCTGTCTGTCCCATATGAGTTTTAGCCTCTGAGGGATGCCTCTATTCAGTCCTAAATTGAAAGATTTTGCACATCTGCTTTAGGTTCCTCTTTAATCAGTTCACCTGCTTCTGCTTAAAGGAGCACATCTGTTTCGCATTACTGCTGGCCATCTTTAAGATCTACTGCACGGCTGGGTATGAGTCTTGAAAATACAAGAAGAATCACTTGATTAACAATTCTTTGGCCAGTTATTTAGCTGGTTTTTAAAGTGGGAAAGATCCCTGTTTTGTGCTGTTGATGCTTACAGCTCTTGAAATAGGTCCTGCCCCAGAAGAGGAACAAGCCTACTTTGGAAGAGTAAGATTGTTTTGCTGTAAATCCTTCTGTACTTGTAATTGGATTGGTAATAATCTAGGATGCACACCTGCAGGCACTGTGACTGCATTACAGGCCTGTAAGTGATGAAGTTAAACTGTTTCTTGGTAGGGGGCTGGCAAGCTTTCTGCTTCTCTCTAGTGTGGCCTAAACCATTCAAGCCAGATGTTTCTCTGCTGATGGCAGGGCACAGAATCATCCAAGAAGTCAAAGTGTTTGCATAACTGTCTGTCCTTGGGGCTCTCAACTATTTTTTAACAGAAGATGTTTTCAAGTGTATTTAGTGCTAATGAATAGGAGCAAACAGAGGACCTTGGAGTCTGAAGTCCTTGGGCTCCTGGGCAGAACAACAAGATCAGCAATAATATGCACTATACCTTCTGTTGTGTTAACGTACCTCAAACCTGTATGTTTGGTCCTGTTTACTGCATCCCCAAACACACACAAAGGTAATTGCGCTGTCTAATGGGGTGGTCAGTGTAGCAATTGCTCAAGTTATTTGCATGGAAAAAATATGAAACTTGCCCTCATTCTTTTTATCCTCAGTGAAAGTAGCACACCCACCCCTCTCCCCCCCGCCCTGGTGTTTCATGGATTGGTTTCTTGCATCCCCTCTGACAGGCTGTGTGCCTGTGTTACAAGACAGAGCTAATCTGCAGACTCCGGATCCTGGAAAATCTAAAGGTGCTCTCTAAAGCAAAAATAACCAACAAAATGTAGCACTTGAAAATCTGCAGGCACCAAATTGTCTGGGCATGTGTATATGTGTCTGCTAGGAGCAAGGCCCACACCCACCAATATGCTTCTCAGCCCTCATGCCGTCACAGGGTTTCATCAGTTCAGGGTCACACAGCCATGGACTTTACAATTCATGATTATTAAAGCCAAAAGAAACTCTTCAGTTTTCTGATTGAGACTGTAGACCTTTATGCAGAACCCCATGTACTGAGGCTTGTTGTTTTGATCCGGAGTAAATTTTTGACCTAAAGTAAAAAGTTTCCAGCCTTTTCATTGTAAAACTTCTAATCCTTCTATCTCATCCAAGCATGGCCGATTATGTAGCTTTTCTGGAAATTCAGTAGCTTTCTCTTACTTAGCTGGTGTCATTTGCCCTCTTTGTCAAAAGCAGACAGGATGACCAGCTAGGAACAGAGTAAGAGCAATTAGTTCAGAGGTGTAATACTTACAAGCTTTCAAATGTCTGCTAATTCATATTTTAGTTTCCAGCTGTTGGTTATATTGGGTAATATTAAAATGCTTTAAGTTTCTTAGATTTAGTAATATTTCCTGTCTGTAAAAATAAAGCTTGCTCTTTTGCTTTTACCTAGTTCCAAAAATATGACTCTTTCCAAATGGCAATAGCAATGTGAAATTTAAACATGGAATTTCTTAGCACTGAAGACAAAAACACTCTGCCTCGTGCATCAGCCTGTCTCTCATTTATTTTTGCATTTTCTCTTTCTGCTGTTCATTAATTATATTGATTGTAGAACACCCATGGAGACTGCAGACTTCACTCCTCAAATACTTCTTTTCACATTTTTCTGTTTCAGTCACAAAACTGAGATTTTCTTGTGGATAGGCTTTCCTTTATGGTTCATTTGGTCCTCCCCTATTCTCCTGAAATGACTGATGAGGGTGTCATGGGTTGGGGGTGGTGGGATAGAATTAGTCACTTGTGCATTTCTTCATTGACATCTACACTGAGAACCACGAAGTTCATTTCATGTAATCTATCAAGGAACCTCTCAATAATCATGAATTCTGACTCTTCCTGCTCTGCCCTGAATTTCAAGTGGAGACCCTCAGAGGTTTTTTTGTTGGTTCTGTGTTTTGTTGTAACTGATGGCCCTTACTCATTCCACATAGATGAACAGGAGTAGGTGGGAAGGAGAGTGTAATTTTAATACCTCAGATAATATTAATAAGCTCTTGTTTTCAGAGCTTGTTTCATACTGGATATGAAACATGGATATGTAGATGCTGTCAATTCTTTCTTCCGCTGTGATTGCTGACAGAGTGAACTTACCTAGCACAACCAGTCTTCTTACAAGAAACACTGTTCCTAGATCTAGAAGGGAAAGATAAGTCCCATTATTTGTTACTCTGGGAGATGCTTTAATATTCACAAGCTGGGCTGTTACATAGGCTCACAGTCACTTACAGGTCACAGGGATTTAAGGGGTTTTACTATAGCAAAAGAACTTGATGAGGGAGGTATCTGATATGGGGAAGTTGGAAGCACTTTCGATCTATGAGGACCTTATTGTTCTTAATCACCATCTAATTTCTGCTGTGTATTTGATTAGGTGAAGAGCATAAAGATATGCGATCTATAAAATCTCTGCCTTTGGAACTGATTTGTTCATCTTACTGAATACTCTAGAACAGCAACTTCATAGTAGAGCTTCCTATGGTTCTTTTGTGCCTTTTTAGTGCAGCTTTTCAGGCTTCCTACTTTCTGAATTGTCAGTCACTTAAGCTTTGCACTAATGGTACAATGTTGATACTGTTGAAAGGCTGAAGCTGTCTAATGAAGAAATCAGACAAGCAATCTTGAAGATGGATGAACAAGAAGACTTAGCAAAAGATATGCTTGAGCAGGTGAGAAAGATTCAAGTCAGATATATCTTACTCTTAAGTCCTTCACTGCCTTTTTTCACCTGAAGTAAGTGGATATATGTACTGGCTCTGCTGGTATGTCTGCAGATCTGAACTTGGCCCTATCATGTCAGTGGAGCTGGACACGGGAGCATGACAAAAGTATTTTTCCCAGTTTTGTCAGATATACCTCCCTCGTGTAACTCTATTTGTATCAGGTTGATTTCATAACAGTTTTCTCTTCTTGATGCAAAATATGCATGATTACAGCTGGTATGAGGTTTCCTTTCACATCTTTTCTTGTAACCTGTGACTTTCCTATAATTTTCCCCATCTCTTCTTTATACTGCTGATTATTTTTTTGTTGTTTTTCTTCTGTTCATTTTTCTTTTCTTTTTCTTGATCTCCCTTCTCTGCCTGCAGCTTTTCTATTGGGAAATGCCATGAACTAGACCATGTAGGTCAACGGTTAGAGCTGGGACTAGAAAGGATCTCGCATTCTAACTAGAATAGTTAGAAAGGGAATCAGTGCCTTCTGTCCCCTGCAGTTGGTTCACTGCGTAGCATGTGAGGGGGAAAAAATCAATTAAACTGCCACTGCCTGATTTCCCCAATTTATAGAAGGTGAAAGATGATGCTTTGACCAAAGATGCATATAATAAAGTTCCTTAGGAGTGCACAAAATGTTGTAATTCTGAACTGCCTGACAAATGGGATTCCTTCTTTGTGTGCAGTCACAGTATTTAATCGTGTACAAAAAGCTTTTCCATTTTGGAAATTTATAGCCTACTTGTCATGTTATCTGAATGCTCACAGCTGCTCTAGAAGTCACTGCAAACTTCTGATGCTCCATGCCTTTGAATATCACATTTTTGGGGAGTGGGATAAAATGTTGAGAAGTGGTAAAAACCAAAGTGCTTGATATGCCTTGTGAGCATTTTTTGTGGGTGTGCACTGAGGCTGTGTGCATGGCAATATTTATAACCATTCTAAAGCACAATTACCACCAGATATGTCAAAAATCTGTCAAAGTATGAGCTTTTAAGGTCAGCATATGAATAGCAGCCAGTGTCAGACACATATCCAGTCGCTTGGTTATTGTTTATTGTTTCAGCAGAATAGGGCAGATCCAAGAGAGAGATAGATGAGGCTTTGTGTGTACTCTAGGACAGGCATGATGGGTACTTCACACTGAGTCGGACACATCCTTCTCTTGTTTGCACCAATCTAAACTCCAACTAATGGTGTGGGAATCAAAGTTCTCTCTGTACTTCCCCTTGGGTAAGTTGCAGTAGCACTTGGCCTTTAGGATTTAGAAATGGGAAATTCCCCATAGAATTAAAAATTAATCTAATAGGGTCAGTGAGGGATAAAGACAGAACAGCAATCAAAGGTTTAAAAAAGGTCAGTTTTGTAGCCACAGCTGCACTTTTTTGAAGTTACAGTCACATGGCTGAGTCAACGTAATGCTTCCCCATGGTAGCAGAGAAATCTGAGGGCCCTCTCTCTCTCCATTAGGGTTTGTTTGTGCCTCTCTGTCCCTCTCTCCTTTTCCCTGGATCTCTCATCTCAGTGTTTGGTTTGTGTCTGTCACTCTAGCTGCTGAAGTTTGTTCCTGAAAAGAGCGATACCGACTTGTTGGAGGAGCATAAACATGAAATTGAGCGCATGGCCCGAGCGGATCGTTTCCTCTTTGAAATGAGCAGGTCTGTTTGATACATTATGAGAAAGTGCACTGAGGACTTCTTGGAAGCAGCTGTAATTGTTATTGAAAATGGATCATCTGGCACTGAGGGGGAATGTGCAAGAGATTGTGGGCCAGCATTATACCCTGCATTTGCCAGAAGCCCACAAATGTTACAAATGTTTCCATTCATTACACAAACTTTTTATTGACGATAAGCACTCTCTGTGCTGTCATTTAAGGACCAGTCCCCTGACAACAGACAGAAATCTGCCTCCTCTGCCTAAAATTATTCACACAAAAAGGAATTCAGATCCAACTATCAGATGTAGTGTAGCCAGGGGTTAGGATTTCATATAGATCCCTTTTTCCTTTCAGCTATCCCATCTCTTCATCCTGTGACCTTCTTTCTTGTTCCAATTTTGCTACACCCCCAATCAGGATTAACATCTTGTTCTGCTAATTGAGATGCAGCTGGCATCTGCTGTGACTCTCATATTTTGAGAGTAATGGGAATTATTCCAGCTCCTTTTCAGTTGTGATCAAAACATGCCTTGAGGTCCTCCATTTTCATAACAAGGTTGATTATGTAGTGTTAGATGTTTGAACTACGTCCGTAGTTCCATGCATAGGCCTTGTGGCACTCAACATCCAACCATTAGGTTACATAGACAGCATACTGGCCCTGGGCTTCACAATACAGTTCCAGTTCAGTGTTGGCTTTCCTCTACCCTTCATGCAGGATTGACCACTATCAGCAACGGCTGCAAGCGTTATTCTTTAAGAAGAAGTTTCCAGAAAGGCTGGCAGAAGCAAAACCAAAAGTGGAAGGTATGGCTAAAGCTTTTGCTCAGAGTTGGGTAGAGGGTCAGGGAAGGTCAACAGAGGCTTGTCTTCAAAGGAGGTGCTATGGCTTAGAGCCAGTGAGTCCAAGGCATGTCATGTGCCAGGAAATCTGTCAGATGCTCTTCTTGTACCCATTGACTTAATAAAGTCAGTTTCATGATTGTTACACTGTAAATATGACCTGACAGATGTGACAGTGTGCTACCAGGCTGTGCTGAGCTGCCAAAAGCTTTCATGGCCTTTCTGTGCAGGTCAGCCTTCCCTTCTCGCCCTCAAATCCTTGCACCTTCCCTCTCCATGGGGCAGTTAGAATAGATGCCTCAGGACAGTGGTATTCTGAGAATGTGCAACTTACAAGGGTGGGGGCAAGGGGGAGTGTATGGCTTCTGTGCCACATCCCTGATTACTGCAGAGAAGAGGTGAATGTATTCTACTCTGCATTTTCAGATGAGCTCAAGCCTTCCCCCTGTTCTCGCTGGCTATGTTTTTAATTTGAGGTCCAGAACAGACTCGCTCCTGGGTTTAGAGGAGCATCCTACAGGCTAGATGTAGTGCATCCTCCTTCCATTTGTCCTTGTTCTGGGCATATGAGGTGCAGGAAGGACAGTACACACAGAGACTGTGTTGCAGCATTTGCTGAGCAATAGTCAGATGGGCATTTTAGGGTACTTATGGGCCCAGGCATGTTAAAAACAGCCACTGTGCAATAACCTGTTCATTTTTTTCTCTTTTTAAGCCATTCTTCTGGCATCCAAAGAACTAATCCGAAGCAAGCGTTTGAGGCAACTCCTGGAGGTAGTCCTGGCCTTTGGGAATTATATGAACAAGGGCCAAAGGGGAAGTGCTTACGGCTTCAAAGTCTCCAGCCTGAACAAAATTGCAGACACCAAATCCAGTATAGACAGGTAGGCTAGAAGGCCATAAATGAGTTACTTACTGTGCTGCTGCATCTCTTATCATAGTAATGAAACTGTTTTTTGTTTGGTTTTAGCTCTGTAGACCATTTAAAATAATGTCTTATTTAGCATTTAAGTAGTGCTTTTCACTCTAAAACATCCTGCAGCAATTAAGACCAGCTATTAACACAGCACTCAAATTCTGCTGTTTCTTTGGATAACGCACATCTGTTGTTGGATTGTATTTCTGCAACACTATGCAAAGATGACAAAATGTAGTATTTCACAAATAACTGAAATACGTTTTGGGGAGAGGGGGATTTCTATTTGCCCTTTATACCGAAGTTTTATGACCATGGTTTTGCAAAAAAGAGAACACAAAAAACTCTGTCCACACTTGTATGTCTCCTGTGAAACATGGCATATGTTTCTCATGCCGGACTATCGTAAACTGGCTCTCTCTACCTACATCAGTAATGGAACCACAAGGTATAACTCAGAGAGACTGATCTGGGTTGTATCTAGAGCAGCTAAGGAAAATAGCTGGGTTTGGGAATGTGGAACTTGCTATTTATGGACATGGGCTGCAGGTCTCCATAATTCTACCCCATGTTTTGCCCCACATCCCCATACTGGTTCTGGGAATTAATCCAGCTGTGACTGGGGAGAGAATACTACTTTTGGGCTCCAGCAACACTAAGTTTTTCCTTGGAGATCTCCTATAGTGGTTCTTACTAACTCATACCTTCCTTGACTTGTGAGGCCTGCTGAGACCATAGTTGTGGTGAAATGACTTCAGGCTGTGACAGAATGAATAATGGCAGTAAGAAGCTGTAGGAAATTCATCCCTACCTAATAGAGTTTGAACTAACAGAGTTCTGTTTTGACTACCACCATGTCCTTTCTGTATTCCAAGGCTAACCCTTTTGTAGCTAGTGTTGGACATTTTTTTGCCTTAATGTACCTTGGCTTGATTTTCCATATGTTAAATGTCCTGTGCAGATTCTGTTTTCTCACTGGTTCTCAGCTCCCAGGCTCTAGTCTGTGTGAAGCAGTGGCCATCTGCTGTCTCGCCTGTCAGTTAACCACGTAACACCCACCACAAGTAGCTGTTACAGCTGGCAGTTCTCTCTACATGCAAAATTCACTGATGCAAAATTCATCATGTACTTTACAAATTTTCTTAAACTTTCTCCTGCATCTCTCATACCTCTCATTTCTGTCTACTCCTACCTGAGCTGCTATTGCTTTTGTAATAGTAAGCCTGACCACTATTCATAAGAATAGCAGTTTCATTACTGTAGGAGATTTCTTTGCAACTTCCTCAGTCTTCAAGAACCTTTTCCTCTTCTTAGTTAACTCTTAGGTTTTTTCCACATTGCCTCTGAGAACAATTTACTCCTCCCTTATGAGTTAATGTCACTTTAGTACTATTAGTTGCTTATTCTCTGAAGCATCTGGGGACAAATAGTATACAGTGTTACACAATTTTCTTTTCTGTTACACCATCTACACAGGTGGATGGAAGCACGCTGGATGGTTCATAAAGGACTAATTCATTTCAGTCTGTGATAGTTTTCTTTCAATAACAGACCTGCTAACTGCTGATATATTGTTTGTTTTGTTCATGCAAGCACAATTGCTACCCAAATATTTTTCACTGATTTGTCACAATCCTCCCACCATCCTTTTCCTTCTTATCACCATATTCCTTTTCATTTCTCCCCCCTTTTTTTTTTTTTTTTTTTAGGAACATTACACTGTTGCACTACTTAATTATGATCTTTGAAAAGAATTATCCAGATATCCTAGATATTCAGTCTGAGTTGCAGCATCTTCCAGAAGCAGCAAAAGTCAAGTAAGTCCAGTGCTATTGCTTGTTCCCAGAACTGGAGTTCCCAATGATTTCTGTGAACTTAATAATAATCAGGTTTTTTATAGCTGTCTTCTAAAGCCATGGCCAGCTTTACAGCCAAAATGCCTTTGCTCACATCCCTGATGTTATTCAGAGGTACATCAACAGAGAATTTTGGTCCAAAAACATTTGTAGGTAACTAAACTGACAGCTTTACTCAGATATACCTATATCTACTTTATTTTTTAATCAGACACTGTAACTAGACTGGTTGTTGTTTGTAATTCACTCACCATATTCTATGGTTGTTCATTTAAGTCACTTGCTATTTTTTCTGGATAATTGAAGGTTTGTTTCCAAGGCAGATTCAATTAGGCACAGAAGCTACAGTAAACCCTTTACAGGAAGATTGTTCAAACTTTTGCACAAATCAGTCTTGCACAGAAATGTGGAAAGCATCATACTTCCTGCACAGATTTCAATGATATTTTTTCCTGTTTCTGTAGCTGTTTGTGGAAAATGAATACACAAGCCATTCCCCAAAATACTAGCTTTTTTTTTTTCCAAAGCACTGCTCAAAAATACTTTTGCATACTGTTTTCCTAGCCATGATTCTTTGTATAGGGAACTATTCTAGCTAATGAATGACAAGTAAAAAATAAATGTAGGTTCACATTTAAAGGCATTTAATAAGGCTTTAGTGGTGGTTTGGAGATGCAAACTACTACTCATCAAATGGAGATGCCTGCTGACTCACAAACAGGTACTAACTAGTTACCTGGAAATGAAAAGTCTTTTTTTTCATACAAGTCCTAGAAATAAAAACTCTTGTTTGTATATGTGAGCAGAAATTCAGTACAACACTTGTGTCTAGGGAAGCATGTATTAACATTAACAGTAGGGTTATATGCTCAGTTACAATGTAAACTTGCAAGGACTACCATATGGTAGAAATGCAAATGGAAAAAACAATGTTTGGACTGTGAGGAAAACAAAAATCACATGTAAATGTACTGCTAATGGGATTTAGTAGTTAAGTGGTTCAAGAATCATATGTAGAGATAATCTGAGACCCCAGTAATGTGTGTGCTAAAGCTGGGGTTCTTGCTTATGTGTCAGCTGATTACTGCAAGCTGGCCATGTGGCATATGCTCCTTGCTGGAGGGTCAGGCTCAGCTCACAAGGCAGATGTTCCGAGGGCAACCCCCCTCTTCTTCCCAGGAAAATCCCAATCTTCAATGTGACCACAGGCAAGCAGGGTCTGCCTCATCTTACATCTCATACAAAAAGCAGCACAGAGCATTAACAGACCCCCTTCCCTTCATTTCTAATCATCTGGCATGGCTGATGCCAGAGGCCAGATACCAGACTTGATGGGCCAATTGTATTCTCTGCTGCACAGTTCCTGTATTCCTGTGTAACACTGCTCTTTTTGTTTTATCTGCTCTGTGTCTGTCTCCTATGCAGCCTGGTAGAGCTGGAGAAGGAAGTCAACAACATAAAGACTGGATTGAAAGCTGTTGAAGCTGTAAGTATCTGAAGGTTTCCACAGCACCATACTTAAAATATCTCACTCAGAATCAGAGGCACTATATATTTTATGATAAGAGAAAGTGGGCTTTCTTCTTCCGTTTCTTTCCATTCCGTTCCAGAATGCATTAACCAAGAAAAAAACAAATAAAAGCTTTTCATGTGGGGCTCCTGCTGATGATCTTAGCAGACTTAAGCCTGATGAAAAGCTTGTTTGATCTCAGCCTGGAAAGTAAAAGGACAGCTTGACAAATGGCATGGACTGAAAGAAGAAATAAAATTCTTGCTCTTTGTTACTGAGGGATGGCTGGCTGCTAAGCAAGTGTTCCACATGGCTCTTGGAGTAGTAATAAACAGGTAGTGCACTGTTATATGCAACCCTAACCTATCCTAACCACTCCTTGGAAAGGCAAAGGAAAAGAAAGACTAGTTAAAGATGAGGCAGTTGAGCTGGCAAGCAAAGCAACAATGGCATTTTTTCCTGCTATTAATGAAAGCCTTTTAAGCTGGACTTAGGTTGCAGTGTTCAATTTGTACTTAAGTAGTGCAGAACTTTCCATCTCAACAGAGAACAGTACAAATGGTGCATTGATGCAGTTGTGTGTACTGAATTATAAGAGTTAAAGATGACGGATGGGCCTAAATGCTCCCGGGGGTCACAAGTTCATGTGTCAGCTGTGGTTCCCCTACCTGGAAGCCTCCTTTAGTTAATGTGTTGGGTTTGTTCCTGGGGAAAGACTCCAGCCTTCCTGAGGCAGGAGAGCACAGACTGGGACACCGTATTTGGTGGCAGGAGGTAGGAAATCTCATATTTGTCTCTTGGTTATGCCATTGACATATGTGTGTGGCTTTGAACAACTCCATGTGTTTGCCTCCTCACTGTGAAATGGCAGATACAAATAGCTACCTCTCACAAGGGCTGATGTGAGGAATGGCAAGTTAGTGTATGCACAACAGTTGAAAAAAGATTAAAGGCTAAAGTCACTCTGTTGTCTCTGTCCCTTAATGTCTCCCACCATCTGCACAGAAAAACATATTCGGACCCTAAGAGCATGATTCTTTCTTTCTGAAAGTATAGGAACAAAATCCTATGTTCAGGTTGGTGCTGGCATCTCTTGCCTGTTGGATATACTAAGGCAAGGGTAGTGCTGAGAGACAAGGCAGAGGTCTTTGGAACTCAAGAAAGTCCCTGCCATCTTTAGCTGTTCTTTGCCCTTTCAAACAGGGTTTTATTAGCTAAAATTCTCAGTGTCTCTCTGTCTTCAGGATGTTTCATCTGTCTTTTTCAACTTATGCCAGTTTAATGCTAATGGAGCATTCCAGATGGGGAGCATTCTGCACTGGGATGTCTGGCAAAGGGACCACTTGTTGGGAATTGCATCAGGTGGTTTCTGTGCAAGGATTACCTATCTACAAGGAACTGACACAGGACTCTCCAGTCCTTGTCATCCACTATGAGACAGACAGTGATGACTTCATTTTCCTTTCACCTGGCCTGAGTTTGGTTTGGTTCTGGGGTTAGAGGAAGGGATCTTTGTCCTGTCAGTGGCCCCCAGGCTGTCTGGCTGTCTCCGGCAGTTCATCATGTAATTGGCCAGTGATCCTCCTGTAAAAAAACAGACTTTCCAAACCTTATTTCTGGATTGTTTGAGTAAGGGAGAATGCAGCAATGAGAAGAGATACTGCTGCTTACATGGAGTGCAGTGTTTTGGGAATTAAAAGCACCTGTAAAGGGAAGGCTGACAAGGAGTTCATGACATGAAGAGAGGCCCAGTTTTGGCTGGGACAGACAATTCCCCCCATTGAAATGTGAGTACCTACTTCTGTTTTGCTTTCTGTGATTGGGTTATTTGTCCTTTTGCCTTTACAGCCAATTTTTCTGGTCTTTCCCATACATGGTTTCCATGGGCAACCTCTCCTTCCCTCCACAGTCTTCTACCTGCCATGGTATTTTTCATCTGGGGCTGCCAGCACCTCCTAATCTGCTTGCTCAATTTGTGGTTTTCTGGCATGTAAAAAACAGCACTATAGCAACAATAGAAGATCACTGTCAGGTGGAAGGGAGAGGAGGGGAAGGTGTGATTCTTGATTCCATTCCACTGTGTTCACACCACAGCCTTGGCTCCAGTGACTGAGAAATTTTTTCAAGGCCCCTTAAGAATAGAAAGCTAAAAATAGTTTCACAGTCAGATGTTCTTAAAGGTACAACTAACCCTTTGCCTTCCTGGACTTGCAGCTTCTTTGTAAAAATAAGACACATTTGTTTTTACGACATGGATGCAACTATTGCCTTTGTGTAGGATGCTCCCAGAAGGACAGCTAAGTAGTTCTTGGTCTTCTCCAAACCAGGAAGTGAATTCTGTTAGCAGAGTCCTTTCACACAGCAAGGAGATCATAACCACTGCTTAAGAAACCACTGCCATGGCTGAATCATTTCACCTCTCTAGAGAACCAGCAGCCCAGCCCAGCAGGTGCAGTGCTGGCTTCTGCTGTTGTGCTGTTATGACTAGTATAGACCATTTCTAGAAGATACAGAGGAGTTTCTTATTCTCTGGCATTGCTGTTGGGTTGACTACATAGTCATGCAGGGAATGACTAAATTTAAAATTGAAAGGCAGAGCACCTAATCTTAATTTTACTTTGAAAAACATTGCTTTCTGGTAGCAGCCCCAAATGTCATAGCTTTCAACAGTGAGCAAGATGCAGAACTGTTATACTCACCTGCTTGGGAAGGTGGGGGAGGAGGGGATAGAACAACTTTTAGCTAAAATTAGCTTAAAAACTAGAATGGGAAAGAGTGGCTGAAAAAAATGTGCATAATTCTTAGAAGCATGTGAAGTGACATTTCCTGTACTTGTAAGGTCCAATTCAAAGTGAATTTAACATAGAGACATTTCATTGCAAAGTGATGTAAGTGAGTAGTGCTCCCAGGACTGTCTCTTGTGATGTGTTAGGAAAACCGGTGGAGGACAGGATGTAATATAAAGCAGGGGAAGTAGCACTTCTTTAATGTGGACTTTTCTCTGGCCACCTGCTCATTGCTTTTCCTGCCTCTTTTCTGCCTTGTGGTCTTTCCTTGTAGTAGTTACATTCTCTTTCCAACTCGCATCAGACCAGAAGATATATCATATCTGATTTTAGATTGTTGATGTCCAAAGTCATTCTTTGCATTCAGAAGCAGCATGGAGCAAATCCCAAGGAGTTTCTCAGCATAGATGCTTATAAACCTACCCACTTGGCTCAGTGAACCAGTATTCTGATGACCAGTAACAGAGAGCACCAAACATGTGTGTAGCTGGAGTTGCAGCCAGCACAAAAATATTTTTTTCCAAAGGGAACAGAAGGTCAGATTGTAACTTGACCTGCTGTTTCATGCTGCTTTCCCTACAGAGAAAGTAAGGCTTTATCATTCCCACTGATTATTCAGCTGAGAATAAAGATGCGGCCCAGATTGCGATTTCATTGTCCCCATGAGACTGTCAACAACACACAAGCCAAGCACAGGCATGTGAGACTGCCAGTCTTACTATAACTTAGTCATTTTGAGGAGCTCTGTATTTCTTTCCATGCCACAAGCATGGTGAATAGAGTAAGGAAAGAGATAGCATGGGTAATCTTGGCTTAAAACTAAAATACTTGAGCCAGAAAGAAAGAATCTTACAATTTTTTTTTCTTTCTGTAGGTAGTGGACAAATAGAGCTCAGTTTCCTATGGTTTTATGTCTTCCCCCACCCTCCCACCCCCCCCAAATCTTCTTATTGCCATAGCCTCAATTTATACCTCTGTGACTTTTATGACATCCAAGCTAATGCTTATTGCTTAGCAGGGTGCTAGCAAATGTTACACTTGATGTCTGTCTGCTTGTTCTTCAGTGGGAGAATCAATTTTGATGTCTTTTTGCTGCCCACTTAGTGCTTTTCGCAGAACTAAAGGGGAGATCCAGAGCTAGGAACTATATAGATTATTCACACATGTACACATTTCCCTGAGTATACAGCCTTTCAAATCATCATGGGAAGAGAAGATGGAGGGAAACTCACTATAAAAAATTCCAAGTTCACTTGCTACACAATCAGAGTTCTCTACTATTTGTCATTTTGCATAGGAAAACAAAATGCAGCATTTCATGTACTTGATGCTTAAATTATAATGTTGCTTTAGAAGTTCAACATGTTGATGGCTTTCTAGGGAGCGGTTGTTGTTTGAGGATAACAGGAACCATAACTAAGACCTTCCTTCATCCCACCTTAACCTTCCGTCTCATGCTGAAAAGGCAAAACCTTTGTCTTAGTGAGAAAGTGGTTTCTGAGTTACAGCTCTGGATGAATGTGTGTGGAGTGGGAGCAGAGCATGCTCTGCACTGAGTGAAGTAGATGGGCTTCACTGCTCCCTTCCTTGTCAGCAAGGAATCTTTGACTCTTGCCTGTTTATATCTCTTTCTCCTCTTTCAGGAACTGGATTATCAGAAGAGGCGCGTGTGGGAATCAGGGGACAGGTTCGTTCCTGTCATGAGTGATTTCATCACTGTGGCCAGTTTCAGCTTCTCAGAGTTGGAAGACCTTCTCAATGAAGCTAGAGACAAGGTAAGAATACCTTTTGAAGTGTTTGAGGTTTCACTGGCTCAGTCAAAAGCTTGAATAAAAATGGAAGCAGCAATCTGAGATGCTGGGACTGTAGTGATAACTATAATAGACACAGAAAATGGTTTAGGCTGAAGTTTCTTACTTTTCCTAATCTGGTCTATAGACGTTTAGAATGTATTTTAGGATTAAAAGAAGGTTCAGTACTCTTGCCCACTTCTTGCTAATCTTCCTTAATATTATCCATGTGTGGCATAGAGTTGTGATGGCAATGTCCGTACCTGGATACCACACCGTGCTGTGGTGTTGAAGGGAGTGCCTTTTAAACAATGTCTCAAAAAGAGGCCCTTTGGTGATGAGTGATAATGACCTCATATCTTTTACCTTCTGCTTCTGACATCATCCCACTCTGCTCATTCAGCTGGTAGCATTTGTGCTTCATTCCTTTCCTTTAAAAATGCACCTCTGGGTAGTTTGTTAGCCCTGAATACCTGATCTTTTCCACTTAGGCTTCTCTTTTACTGCTTGTATTTCATTGCAAGGATAGAAATCCCAAACATACGTGGTTTGTCCAACATTCTTGGATCCTTCTTACACAGTCAGCACCATACGCATGTTACTCTTCAGGTACTGCTGTGATCATTTTGTCCTTTCACTGTCTGCATCTCCACTACCAGATTTGTGCAACTAAGGAGGTGCTTGTTCTTTGCTGATGATTGGAGTCTGGCACTAATCCCTCTGTCTCTTGGCTGAATGAGGAAGAATTTATATGAAAAGATCATAAGCATATGAAAATGTTTAGAGAAGAGCAACTTCTAAAGTAAACAATATGTAATGGCAAATCTGCCCTTGTTGGCTGGCATGTTAAAAGTGTTTGGCTTTATGAAGCAAATGTGTTATTTCTTTTGGATTGAATTGTTTCCACTGCTGGTGTCAGTTAGTTATTGTAGTGTTAAGGGACCTATTGGATTATTAATGAAACCTATGCCATTGGATTGGTAGGCCTTAGATTTCGAAGGACAGACAACTACAGGCTGAGAATCTGAACAGTAAGACTCCTCACTCATCCAGTCACTCCCCAGTAATGACATTCTGTAATTCAAAAGCATTTCCTTGCTGTGGAGATAATGTTGGTAATATTGACTTGCAGCTGCAAACACCAGGAGCTACTGGCTGTCAGCTAGAGCTAGCTGCCCTGGCAAATGCTAGTGGGGCAGTAGTTATTGCAGCACTCAGAAGGCAAAGCTAGCAGTCTAACACTTGTTAATGTTGTAAAGGAAATTCTGTGGAGAATAACGTGCCTAATGTTTTCATTGTTGTCATGTTGCTTGAGAAGATTCAAACCACGCCCAACATAATAAAGTTCACACCATACTAGCTTTATAATCACAAAACCAGTATTTTACATTCCATGCCTCCACTAAAGTTACTGAGAAAAGCTCAGTTTTCTATGGTTTGGGGGCTTCTGTTTTATGACTGGGTAAATTTTTCACCTTCATTATAGTTAGGTGCACATTTCTGGAAGCGAATTCTCTCCGTCCTTGGGTTAGACTGCCCACTTTTGGTTTGGTGTTATAGATGGTGGTGGTTCTTTCTTTTGGCACACTAGGACAAAAGCCCAATGCAGATTCTTTACAAGGTCAGTCAGGGGTTGAAAACCAGCAAGTGGTACATGTCCAGCACAGCAATGCAACTTTTCTTGGTCAGGCACTTGCAGGAAAAATGCCGTTCTTTTGCTTTAAGAATAACCAGAGAATCTCCCTACAGACAGATCACTATGTCTGGAGGTTGTTGCACACTTTTTTAGACATAGCCAACATTAAGCACTCGACATACAGAGATGTTTTATTTTAATGACTATAACATGCTTAGGAAATGTTTCTCTGCCTTCTCCTCACACACCCTTACTATGTTTGAACACGTGCCATTCCAACTTCTTCTCAACCTATGGCCTTGGTTCTTCCACTGGCAAAAAGCTGCTTTTGGACTCCTAAAAGGGAACTGTCTGCCCTTACCAATGGTGAGCTATTTCTCATGTTTGCCTCATAGTATTTTTCCCCTCTCTTCTTCCTCTTTTTTCTTAAAAAAGAAAAAAAAAAGAAAGCTGGAAATTTTCAACAAACCAGATGTGCAAAGCCTATAACATCTTCCAACCTCAATGGGCTCTCTGTGCTTGTTGAATCACAAGTTTTTTTCTTACCATGGAAACCTACTATAACTAGCCAGTTAAAGGAAGAGAGGGACCAAGACATCTGATTATCCTGTTCTTTTTTTATTTTTCAGAGCAAAGCAAATTGAAAAAAAAAGGTAGTAGGAGAAGGAGGACTTTTAAAAATATCCTAATGAGCCCAGGAAGAATTGGTCTGGTTCACAGATTTATTAATAATAATGAAGCCCTAGTTTTAACAGCTGGAGTTGGATATCCTTCTAAATACAGATGTGGTTAATTGATTGCCATGAGTTAATCAGAGCCATGTTTCCTCAGCTGGGATTTAAAACAATACAAATTATCTTTTCAAACCTGGGAAGTTTTTTATTTTTTTAAATGTCTTTAGTATTAGCAAAAGTCATTTCTTTATTCCTTTTAGTTATGGAAACAATCCATTACCAAGGTGTGGTGCTGACCTTCTCTGTAGAGGATATTTTTCACAATCCCATGCAGTACTTTTTTTTGGCCTTTTTGCTTAAACAGGACCATTTACAGTTAGTGGCCATGGGGACAAAGTGATATTTTAAATTTAAAGGGCCAGGCTGTCAGATGCAGGCATCCATGTTTGCAGAGGAAGCCTTGTAACTGTACTTATCTTCACGCAGTAAACAGATGGCTTGGTTAAGAACTGACAGAGAACTTTGACTCTTTAAACAGGCTCCCTAGCACAGCTAGTTCTTGTTCTTTTTTGTGTTTTTCTCACTTTCAATACCACTTTATAAGGGAATATATAGATTAGATCAAGGGATAATGTTTTCTGCCATTTCCTGTAAACTGAAGTTGGGTACAGGAGAAAGGGAAATTCTGCCCTGGAATCCTTCACCAGTTTTTACATGTTTGAACAGATGAAAATTTGACTTTTTTACATCAGAAAGACCAGATGTCCTGGTTTCAGCTGGGATATAGTTAACTGTCTTCCTAGTAGCTGGTACAGTGCTATGTTTTGAGTTCAGTATGTGAAGAATATTGATAACACTGATGTTTTCAGCTGTTGCTCAGTAGTGTTTAGACTATAGTCAAGGATTTTTCAGCTTCTCATGCCCAGCCAGGGCACCTGACCCAAACTGGCCAACAGTGTATTCCATACCATGTGACGTCCCATCTAGTTTAGGAACTGGGAAGTGGGGGGGCAGGGATTCGCCGCTCGGGGACTGGCTGGGTGTCGGTCTGTGGGTGGTGAGCAATTGCCCTGCGCATCATTTGTACATTCCAATCCTTTTATTACTACTGTTGTCATTTTATTAGTGTTATCATTATCATTATTAGTTTCTTCTTTTCTGTTCTATTAAATCGTTTTTATCTCAACCCAGGAGTTTTACTTCTTTTCCTGATTTTCTCCCCCATCCCACTGGATGGGGGGGGAGTGAATGAGCGGCTGCGTGGTGCTTAGTTGCTGGCTGGGGTTAAACCACGACACCAGAATGGGGTTGAATTTTGTTTGTGAAAATTTTTCCCTGTGTTTCCAGTGGGGAAGCAATGAAAATACCCAGGCAGAGGAACAGTGACCTCCCATAGTATGAATTCTATTTTTCTACTTGAAAAAGTTGATATTTGCCCTATATGAAGCTTTACAACATACTTAAATGTTGACAGGTATGAACTTAGATTGCTAGACTGCTTCATAACTGTTCCACTTTGTCCTTGGTTTATAACAAGCCTGTTTTTAAAATGTTTTGGATCTTCCTAGAGGAACAAAGCCTGCTTAGTCAGGTATTGCCATTCCTATGATGAGTATCAAACTTAAGCCTCTCTATAGAGGTGCAATGGAGGCCACTGCCTAGGCAAGGCTGATGAGGTGGGTAGGAAATTGTCCATCAGTCTTTCTCATGACAGCTCTTCTCAAGCTGGGTTTTTATCATCATGGAGAACGCAGTTCAGACTCTGCACATGCATTTAAAAAGCTTAGCATATATAGTAACTGTTTTGAAGAACAGCAAGGCAGTGAAAGACAAAATCCATTCAAGAAAATAGTCATTAATGGCAGAATTCTATAAAGCACACAGAAATATTGTAGACCAAGTGCCAGTTACAGGCTGTGCACTTCAGTCATTCATTCTAGGGGACCAGTATTTTCTGTCAGCCACTGGGGCTAATGAATAACGAATGGATCAGGACAGAGACTAAGGAAGTCAAGATGAGATGTGTTACAAAGGGCATGTGCAGGCACCACAGTTTGCTGTCAGAAACAGCCACTTGGTAAATAAATTACATAGCTGTTGCACAGTACCTTAGAACTGCAGATACTTCAGGGCAGGTTGGCATCTAACATATCAGAAATGTTTATAGTAACTGTACTCAATTTTGGTGCTGCCAAAGTCACTGTTGAACTCATGAGAGAATCATTTAAGAACATTTAGGTGCAAGGAGAGCTGGGCCCAGCCCTGCCTGAAATTGGCTGGGCTCTTTCCATTAACTTATCTGAATCTGTCCCATAGAGAACAGACATTTATTTGAACTGCGTCAGTACAGGATTGGAGGCTTCATAACAGCAAACTCAAGATTGCTTCTCTGGGGAAGACAGTTCATGTTGCATGCCTACATGGTATAATTCAGTCGTGCATTGGCTCCTCCTCCAATAGCAGACAGCGCAGACAGCACAGCCAGCAGGAAATTTTTATCGTGGCTGTTTTTCCTCCTCCTCATAGAGCCCCATTCCTGCTGTTTCCAGAGCTCTTCTGCCACTGTTTAACATTTCATTGGCAAGCACAGCAGACAGTGTGTGAGCTGCTGTCCCGCTTTCCCTCTCCTTGCTAAAATGGCTTTTTAAAATAAATAACTGTCTAAATGATTTGCTTTGGCAAGAGGATGAATTCAGTGGAAAGTTTGGCAGAGGAAACAGAACTGGCACTGAGCTTGTGGACCTGTTATATCATGGAGCTTGGGGGCTCTTATGCTGTGGAAATGAATTTTTTAATGAAAAAAAGAGATACCATCCTGTATTACAGTGGAAAACCTGCTGAAACACAGTTTTCCATCTTGCTTTTGCCCATGTCATCTGTCCCCAAATGACTTAAGGAATAAGCAAGTTTCAGACCTTGTTCCGTGATATTACAGCATGTCACAAAATTCTGGGAAGTGTTTTGCATGCATGAGGACTTAGCTACAGATTTCACCATTGTGCACGAGAGCAGGTACTGTTTGGCAGGTAATCTGCCCATGGAGAAGTCGAGTGATTGTACATGATGACACAAATCCTGCAGCAGAGAGAAGAGAAGGCTGGGGTCCAGAGCACCTCAGTCTGTGTTGCGCTGCCTCTGACACCCTGAGCAAGGCAGGCAGTGTGGTTTTAGCCACTGTGGGCAGGTAGGAGCCTGGGCTTCATACCAGGTTTGGGGAGGCTGCCTCCAGCATCTTGCTGCCCGTCGTTCCAGCACCGGTGCTTTGAAAAAGCACATGTGATCGCAGAACCAGAGCTATGGGGAAATAGAAGAAGTAATAAAAACAGAGGGGTCCATTGCAGTTTAAACAGTGAAAAGACAGCGTGGCTGTCTTTACAATAGTGCATTGCATTGATGTGGTCCCCTACAGACATGAACAACTGGTTTTTTTCCGTTTCCTGTATCAGATTAGTGGGGCAGCACTTTCTGTTCTGTAACGAATGCAGAAAGGAAGGCTCAGAGAGGGAGCATGAGTTCCCAAGCCACATCATGGGCAGAGTTGGCAGCAGAGGCTGGATCTCCTGACTTGCCTTCCTCTTCTCGGCCAGCTTTTTTCTGGAGGGGATGGAGATAGAAGGAAAATATTTACTTCAGTGAACTGCAGATTTCTCTTTTGCCGTTATTTTAGTACATCTAGCTCACAGATTTTTGCTTTTCATTTTTCAGTGCTTTACAGTAAGTGATTGTGACCTACTAAGCCATGTTACAGGGCACCAAATACAGGCTGTTCTCAGCCTCCTCCTCACTGCTGCTTAGAGACTACAACACTTTGTGCTCATGAGTGTCTCTGGAAAGCTCTCAGACTGCTGGGTCTTTCCAGCACAGCAACACTGTTCCTCCACTGAGTGGCAGTGGGGAGGCAGTGGCAAAAGCCCCTCTGCCATTGTGACAAGAACTAGCTGGTGCTGGTAGTTGGGTGACAGGCCATGTGCAGAACATTTGCAGACAACACCACCCTCTAATGGAGAATTCCATGTATGTTGGATCCAAGAGCCCCAGGCAAGGACCCCCTCCTTTTCAACTCCCAGCCTCCCTAAGAGACTAGGAAACCCCTATGGGCACTCATGGGCTCAAACCAGCTCACTTCCTGTGTGCCCCCTCACTCACCTTTGCTGTGCACAGGGGAAACACAGAGGATGGAGCTGGTGCATTGCTAGGTACAATGGCCATCTCCTGTGGGCTGTCCCTGGACTTCAGGCTTTGCAGGAGGTAGACAAGCCTTCCTTCTAGCTGGCAGCTCTAGTCACTGCTCATAATTTGTGCCTCATTCTCAATTTTCACAGGAGTTAACCAGAAGTTAAGTGGGAAGAGATTCCAGGTAGCACATCTCCTGTGAGCAATGAGCTTCAGGTGCTCTATGTGCTCAAGCAGCAGTGGCAATGCCTGTGCTGAAGTCTTTCTGTCACTCCTGCTCCCCTGGCTGATTGGCACGCTGGAGCAGGCAAGCCAAGAAAACATAGTACATGGAGATGCTTTATCTCCCTCTGCAGTATTCACAGCCTGCATTGTCTCTGCTGAAGAGCTGGTGCTGGTCAGCGTGGATTACTGTGAGACTGCTGCACTTTCCTAATATTCACGCAGACTGTGTGTACATTATTTACAGAGAAAATACATATATACAGAGGGGAGTGGGGGGAGGGAGTAGGTGTGCATACTTGTGTATATGTGTATTCAGAGGTTTCAGAGAAAAGGATTTAAAACAGAGAAGTAATCTGTTGCTGTTCCCATACTCTGAAGTTCCTCTATGACTTGCTGCTGTAGTGCTTCCTTCAACTCTTGCCATGTTTGGTAGCTCAAAGCAACTTGCATTTCTTCCAACACTTTTTTTTTTTTCCAGATACTTTGGGTTTCTTTGTTTGTTTCTGGCTGAGAACGCAGCCTTTTTAAAGAAAAAAGAAGCTATTGCTTCAAACTGCTTTGTGGGCCTGGCAAGGAAAGCAGAGGAGGGGAGATGCTGAATCTCTCAGGCTGTGCCAGAAGAAAGCTGCTTTCCTTGGAGATTTCTTCCTCCTGCAGTTGGCTGGGAGACATTGTTTATGCTTTACCTGGTACAGGGCCAAGAGGGGTTTATAAGACCTGCTTCCAAACTCATTTTGTGCTTGGGATTGGAGCCTGAACTGTTCTTACTGTCTTTTCTGTTCTGCCTGAGCACCCACCTAAGGAAAGGGAAGCTGGGCTGTGTTAGTATGAGCTGAATACATGCACAAGAGAGTTTGAAGGCAGTCCATAGCCTGGGAGAGTCTGTGTTTGGTTTGGCAAACGTTGAGGTCTGTAAGGATGCTCTGCTGCTTAGTGGTGGTATGTTAAAGTGCAAGTAGGGAATGCTAGGGGAGCTGCGCATCGGGGCACCAGTGCCATCAGGAATGTGTTGCTGGTGTTGCCTATTGCGATACAGAGGTGTGTGAATGAAGGTGGTTGGACAATGATACAGCTTTTGGATGTATACGCTTATATAGGACTTAGTGGACCTGTGCATACATGCTGTTGACAGACTATATGTGCATGCATTTGAGTGCATTTTGGTGAGTACAGAGGCATGCTTGTGCATGTGAGAGAGCAAAGAGAGTACAACTGCTGGAGCACTGATGTCCAAGAGCCAGGGGTTGCTGTGAATTTACCATATCACAATCAGGACTGCCCTGTGACTGAAGTCCTGCCAGTTGGCTGCCTCCACATGCATCCTGCAGCCTCAATATTTGCCTTTTAAAATAAAAGCCACTTGTGATGTATTTGCTCTCTTTTAAGTCTGCCCAGGAGCCCTGGCTGCTTTCCTCGCCCCTCTGTCATGCCATGTCTGTCTGTAGTCTCCTCTCTCCCAGGCAACACCCTGACTCAGAGGACTCCAGAGTGATGGATGACATGGCAAAAGGCTCCTGAGAGGACAGAATGTAACGTTATTGCAAAAACCTCATCTAACTCCAGCCATTTTATTAGTGGATTTGAGGGCAAGGTGGAAGGGGAAAGGATGGGCTGAAACTACTTATTTGGTAGTTAGGATGGACTAAAACTACTTGTTTCCCCAGCAAGCTCACTGTCTTCCATGCCCCTGCTGTCCCACAGCTGCAGCTGAGATGTGGCCAGATGATCATCCTCTGAAATTACTCCATCTCCCTCAGGCACTGAACATGCTTTTTTTGTGTAAGTGGACAGCTAGTGCTCTCCAGCACTGTTGCCCCGTGTTGCCCAAAGGATATCCAGGAGAGCAGATTCTTCAGGGACAGAGGCACCTGCCTTAAGGAGAGGCACTTCTGTTGCCAAGGGGGTAGTTTCTGCTCTCACCACATGAATGCTCAGAGGGTATTGAATTACATGTGTGGTTACTCATAAGCATTCCCTGCTGTCTTCACCAACCTGCCTGCCTAATTATTGCTCTTGTGTTTTCTGCTCTCTTGACAGTATGCCAAGGCACTGAGGCATTTTGGAGAGTGCGAGGGCAAGATGCAGCCAGATGAATTTTTTGGCATCTTTGACACTTTCTTACAGTCATTTGCAGAGGCCAAGCAGGATCTGGAGAATATGAGGAAGAAAAAGGAAGAAGAGGAGCGCAGGGCACGCATGGAGGCTATGGTGAGGACCTGGGCACAGGAAGGTGTTTCCTTCCATCGCCTTTTCATGTCTCAAGAGAGAAAGGTTGAGAGAGCCAATTCCAATGCTCATGTCCTGTCACTGTCACTGTTTTTTGTCCTTCTCCATGCCACCTCTCTTTGGCATCGTTCTCTTCACAAATGATGACATTTTTCCTGCTGGCTGTCCTGTCAGCTCTCAAGGCCATACTGTTTGGCTCTAAATTACCCTCTTTTGGATTCAGATACCAAATCTAGCCCTGCTTGTTCTGCCCCTGGCACTTTGCAGGATGGTGCTGCCCCTGCCTAGTGCCAGACTATCCTGCTTTTGGGCTGCGGGCTCTGTGCAAAAGCTCTGGGAGCCAGATCTCCCTCAGTCCTGCCAGCTGGTCAGCTTCCACTCAGACTCCATCATCACCTGCTGCATGCTTGTCTCCTGACAGCGTACAGTGACACAGTGAATGCCCTGGCACCTGCTGCAGCCCACACTGGCAGTATTTCTCTCTGGCCAGCCTTAATGCTGGGGCCATGTCTGGCCTTGATGTGGCGAGAGAGCTTTTGTGCATAGTTGATTTTGCTGCTGGGAGACAGATGTGCGTGTCCCCAGGGGTTCATGAGAACTAGCCTACCCCTCTAACCTCAGCCTTTCCTGAGGCCTAAGAATGGCTCAGCAGTCCCCTGCCTCCTTCCCTCCTGCCGGCGCTTTAATCCTGGCTGCCACCGTGGCCCCAGACCTCGCTGTGGGGAGTTGCTGCTTTAAATGTTTGCTGTGCCAAAAACACTGGTTTGTGCCTTTCAGAAGAGGAGAGAAGTAAAACGCCAGGATGCCAGGAGCCTTGCTGTTGGACACAGGGATAAAATGCCAGGACTTAGGCTCAAGTTTTCTCTCAGCCAGCCTGGAAAGTGCAGGAGCCTGCTGTTAAAGCACTAGTATGGTTTTGTAGGCCTAATACACCATGAGAGAGATTGCAGTTTGCTTATGGAAGGAGTCTTCCTGCAACATGGGGCTAGCACGCAGAGCAAGCGACATGCTTCCTGACAGCCACATCCATCCCTTGCCATTTCCACTAATCTTGGAGCTGAGCAGTGGAGGGGGATAGCTCCCTGGAGCTATCCTAGGGAGACCAAGGGCATCACGTTGACTGGTGGACCTAGCCAATGATTTGTAAAAACAGCAGTTCTGTTTCATTGCTCTTTGTGTTTATAACCAGTTTCTCTTTCCAGAGTTGAGGCAATGTGCCTTCCTCTTCCCATTACTGCAACATACTGCCTCCATCCAAACATGAGCTGTTTGGTGGATAGGGTTTCTGCTGATGTTTTGATATCTCACACAATTTTAATTCTCCAGTATGTTTAGCCTGTGGCTTTCTGGGATTTTTCCTTTCTTTTTTTCCTCCTTCTGCAGGACTGCAGCCTTTCTGCCTGTCAATTTAGCTAGTTATGCCCCAAGCGCAAAGCTGTTTGTGACTATACTAGTAACTGTGGTTTGTATAGACACGTCCAAACTAACTTTAAACTCACTATGTTAGGTACTGTCAGCATAGTAGGTGCTGCCACGCTAAGGTCACTGCAAGCCTGGTCCCAGAAGCTAGGTAATTACTTATGCCAGCATCACTTGTAGAGTGCCATTTGGCACAGCTACTTTGCTGGCACTATCCTACTGTAAAATTTGTGCAAAACAAATAGACACAAATATGCAAAGCAGCATAGACAGATCCCATGTGTCCTCTTTGCTCCAGGGTGGTAGTGCCTTGTGAGGCAAACATACAATGCTACTCATTCCTCATATCTCCTGCTTTCTGCTTGCCTGTGCAGAAGAAGGAAAGCCCAGCATGGTCACTTGTTGCTCTTGGCACAGGTGATGGCCCTGTGGATAAGCTCCTGATCTTTTTTTTTCCCTAAACTGTACTGACGCATCTTAGCTGCTTCTTGGCACTGTACCTAGTGATCTGGTATCATGGTTAGCTAATCTTAAAGCTCTGTGTCTTTCTCCACAGCTAAAAGAGCAGAGGGAAAAAGAGAGGCGGCAAAAGAAAGTGAAAGCTGGAAGCATCTCTGAAGAGAGTGGGGAGTTTGATGACCTGGTATCAGCATTAAGGTCAGGTGAAGTCTTCGACAAAGACTTATCCAAGCTCAAGCGTAACCGTAAGCGTTCGGGGAACCAAGGCTTAGAGACAAGCCGGGAGCGGGTGGTGACAAAGCTAAATTATTAATTACAAGAGGAAGAAAAATAATCAACCAAAAGAAGGTGATGAAAAAGTGCAAAACAAGGAAGATAAATGTGTGCGATGGCGCCTGGCTGACAGCTGCCCCAAAGGATTTCTTTGGTCTGTGGCTAGAGACGTTACCTTTCCATGATCAGCTTTCCTCTCATCCCTGTTCTGTGCTCCTAATTTGAACCATTATTAAAGTGCCTCTGTGGAGCCAGCAGGGCCTGTGACTGGGCCATGCAGAGCCGACAGATTTGCTTCTGGGAATTTATTATGTCATCAAAGGCCTCATGGTGATGACAGAAAGTACTTGGGCCTTGCAGACTGCCTCAGAGCTGGAAAAAGATAATTTTCTGTGTGCCAAAGTAAAAACTAGTCACCATCTCCATCTCGCTGATAAGCAAGACTAATTTCAGAGCAGCTCTGTAAACACCTGTTGCTTCTCCAAGATCTAGACTGGCCTTCAGGGGCTTGTTAAGATGTGGTTCTCGAGGTTTCCAGTTCCCTTCCAGAATTGGATTTTATAAGCCATTGATTAGCACCTGAAAAATGCTTTTGATCTCATGTTCTGTATAGTATTTTTGTGTGTCCTACACTGTCCAAAGCAAGTGATGGTCAGAAGGAAGTAATCAGGTTCTGGAATAAATTGAAATTCAAGAATCAGGATCATCATAAAATACATTGCAAAAGTCTTTTGGATTCTGCTTTTCTAGAAGAAGTTTTCTGGAATTTGTTGATGGTTGAGCCTTGAAGCTATGAAATGCATCTTCTAGGAAAGAAACTCTGGCTTTTCTTTAGAAAACTAAGCCACTGCCAGGTTGGGATTACAAGTAGGTGACTCTCGAGCCTGTTGTCATTGCTGGAGGGTGGGAGGGAAACAGCAGAACACTTCTCACCTGTTTGTGCAAGATTTCTTAGTGCAGCCCAATGGAAATCGGGGGCTCCCTAGTATCATCCACAGGTCACAAATAGCAAAAAGCAAACAGGGTCACTGGCTGCAAGAAATGAGATTTCTTTTCCCCTTGATGCTAGCTGTGATTCCTGTTGGCATCAACTGGTCTTTCTGTCTAACAGGCTGACCTTCACTGCACACACTCCACTCCTACCTAGGAGAATCATGTAATTCAGTAAGATATGAATGGTGTCAAAGGAGAGCCTTGGAGTCCACAGCCTTTTCCATTTTGAAGGGATCACTTGGGGTGAACCAGCAGAGGGTCCCGCAATGAAAACTGAGAATTTTTCCAGGAGGACACAGAATTGTGCAAGCCAGGCAGGCTTTGGAGATGGGTTAACTCATAAGAAAAAAAAAATAATTTGTATTTAAGCTACATGTATGAAGCACACAGTGAAAAAGCAAAGAACCCCAAGAACAGGCCTGACTTCTGAATTCTGTGTGTCTTCATGGCTCTAAGAAAGGGATTGGATTGTGTGGGCTGTCATGGGCTTTTTTTTTTTTTTGAATCTTGTCTTCCCTTTTTATTATCGTCCCTGGAGAAGGAAGAGAGGAAAAGAAAGAAATGGTGATGGATTCTTCCTCCTAGACAGGAAGAAAAGAGAGAACATTTGAGAAGAGGGAACCACCATCTGCAAACTATGCATCAATAGTCAACAACACAAAATGTTAAGGAATTCCAGGGAAGTGAAAAAAGCTCTATTTGTCACTTTAATAATTTGTTTTGATTTTTCTCTGAATGTCACTTAATCTCAGGCTCTGCACTGAGTCTGCAGAACAGAACTTCCTCTGCCATGCTGATCAGTATTACACACTACCAATACTGGAGAAGCAAACTGTGGTGGTTTTCTGAACACTTTGAGAGTAAAATAATTGTGTAAATTATGGAAAGAAGCAAAAAAGTTGGAACTGTTAAACTCTAATGTTTCATTGTTTACTGAATTTTGAGTCTCCCACCCCAGAATCTCCCTATTTACGACATTCCAGACTGCCATGCCTCTGTATAATACTCATCGTAAAGAGCTGGTATCTTACAAGAGCTGGCTGTGTTCTCCTCCTTTACTATCCTACTCCCCTTCTGGGATTAGCTATTAACAGCAATGCCCATTGCAGCAGACACAAGCACCTTGTAGAAGAAAGACTGTATTTCATAAAGGTTTTTGAAAGTTTAAGAAAAACTCACTTTTTTAAGCATTTTTATTTTAAATTACAAAATGGATTTTTAGAAATATCTCTTGTAAATTATATTAACAAGCTCCTTGCTGCTCCCTGAAGTAGACATGCTATATCCCAGCCCTTTTTGTTTGTCTTGTTTTAAAGCATGCCATATAACCTGTGCCATGTAAGCCATATGAGAGGTGGTAATATGTGCCAAATTGGTATATAACTGATAATCCCTGAATTCCAAAGATGATGCTTTTATGGATTAGAACATTGTAGGTTTTTTTCCCCTCTTTGTTCTCCCTGGGTTTAGGACTCACCCAGAAATTCAGGTGTAGTGCCAAGGTCAGCCCTGGTGCAAGATGATGTGACTTATGGCTCTGTCCAACTTACGTCTGCTTGCTTGCTCCCTAGGTACTTGTTTGATAAGGCAGACTGTCAGCATGGCACTGCTGTCAGAGAAGAAACACCTCAGGGCAAAACCCTTTAATATAAATACAGCATTCCCCCTGCCCCGGTATTTGTCAAACTAGGTTTGTGCCGTGCTTTTTGAAACTGAAGTCACTTTGCCAGGCCACAAATGTAGTGAAAGCAGAGAGAGTGATAAGTCCTCTGTCCATTTGTGTACAGACTTCAACCCCAATTTAAAGAGATCCTGTATGATAGTACTCAGTGCTCTGGCCACACTGACAGAGTCAAAGAAAGCTGCTGTAGTTTTGCCACCTTCTTGACTCATACATAAATAATGAGAGATTGTGCAACTCCTGTAAATCAGCTGCGGGATACTTACTGGGATGGACAGAAAGCTCAGAGTCATGCCCCTGATTCGTTGCAGCTCAACTTTCTCAGCACTCCAGTGCCCCAGACTCCTGTTTTGAATCTGTGATGGTGGCTGAAGATTTCGTGCAGCATGCTGGACAGTCCTTCCCTGGCTCTTGACTCCATGGTGAATGTCCATAAAGAGGGTTTTGGAAAAGCTCAGTTACACACTGAGGCAAGCAGTGATTTCATATAAGTGGTGACAGGTGGAGAGGCCCATTAATAGGTCTACTGTATGAGATAAGGCTGGCCACACAGAAGATGAGGATAAAAGTTGACTCTGCTCTAGGGCCTGGCATCAGATTCTTGCTGAAGCCAACTTTGTCCTTGCTTCTCATCTCTTGGGTACTGTGAGTGCATCTATGCTCTGTTCTCCATCAGCAGTTGTGGTAGACTTGCTGAGCCCTGAATGAGAAAGGAAAATCTTATTTTTTTGTCCTCTAGTGCTAGCAGAGCCTGAGCAGACTCTGAGGACTGAGACTGAGCAAGCAGTCGTGAAGTATAATATTGAGGCATAACCTCTTTATCACACTGAAAGCTGGAGAAGAGCTAGGGAGCTAGGGTCTGCTGTTGTCCTGGCACCTGTGCCTAGCACCAGCATTTTAAGTGAAATCACTCTGTCTTTGGAAATAAGTAAGTGGAGGAGGAGATGTGAGAAAGAAGGGTATAATCGAGGGCTTGTTCTGCTTCCTGCAGAAATGTAGTCATTGCTAACTTTATGATGAAGTTCTTCACACCTAGAAGAGGAGGTACTTTCTAACTCTCCAGACTTTGTCCCTAGAGGTCTAGTGCTCACTTACCTCTGTGCCTCTGCATTGTTCTTAAGCAGGTTGCATTAGGATGATCCGAGAAAAGACTGAAGAACTCTCTCCCCCTCCCAGTCCCTTTGGTCTGGGTCACTCTTCTCAGTTGGTCATAAGTCTCTGGAAATGCTACAAGGTAAAGTGACTTCAGGGCAGCAAGGCCCTTCCATGCCTGGCAGCACAGCTATCATGTGGGCACCGGTTCCCTATGAGAGCAGAAGTAGGACTAGTGTTCAGGGGTGAGAGACTCCCCACTAGGGAGATGACCTGTGCATCCTTCAGAAGCATTTCTGTAATGTGTTCGCAATGTTTGAGGAAGGGAAAGGAATCGCAAGGGGCCCTGGTGGGAGATTGTGGGGTAGGTGGTTCCGTAATGGTCAGCCCCACTGGCTGAATCTTTCCTCTTCTTTAGGAAAGCTCACACTCTGAGCTGGGTTGCATGGGAGAAGCTTGTGTCAGGAGTTTCCGTGAGGGGAAAGGAGATCAGTTGTACAGTTGATAATGTACATGATACATGCAGTTTCGTTTCTGGGTTGGTTGTTTGGGTTTTTTTTTTTTTTGTTTGTTTGTTTGGGGGTTAAATGATTTTTTAAAAAAAAAAGGTTTTAGGAATCTCTAAGGGGAACCTGTAAATCTGACACCTCTATTTATTTTGCCTTATTTTAGTTTGCTACGTTTGTATGTATACACTGCATTATAGCGAAGACTATTGAGACCGTGCCAGGGCATTACACTGGCTAAACAGCTGGCTTGGCTGTTGTGCAGCAAGCTGAGCTAGGCAAGGAGATCCTTGTGAGCAGTCTTAGTGTGGGAAGGGAGGGAAGAAAGAAACTTTCCTTTTGCTTTTGTCATAATCACGCTGCCCCTGGTGATCCTGGTTCTGGGAAAGCATGCATTTTAAAGCATGTGAGAACTGATGCAGGTTGGTTATTTTAGAACACTTTCTATAAAACCTGTTTATTTCTCATCACGAATCATGGTGAGAAGATTGAGAAGAGTTAAGCTGCGCAGTTGTTCACTCAGACTTCACCCTTCCACATAAATTCTGTCCATAATGCCAGAGAAGCTTGGATAGATGGGCAAAAGTGGTTCATGCCCTGTAACGTCTCAGCAGAGTTAACACACTAGTGAGACAAACTGGGGCAGTTCTCCTTCCTCAGAGTTAATATTCCTTCCTATCTTCAACGCCAAGGAAGAAGGATTTCCTCTGCTTCCCCTCTCTCCTTCTGCACCCTACCTGCCCAGATTATCCAGGATAAACAAAATCT